GGATGCCGGCCATGTAGAACAGGCACTCGTCGGCGTGCTTGAGGGCGTTCAGAACCATCTCGGACGAGCACTCGAGCGCCTTTTGGACATGCACAGGGTTGGAGGTGTCAAACATGTCCTCCCACTTGTCGACGTGCTTGCTCCAGATCTCCTTGGGCCAAAAACGGCGCTTGTCGACAAAGTCCTCGTGCACGTCGCGGATGATGTTGGTCTTTTGCAAAAACTGGCCCATGGACTCGGTCAGCTGCGGGCGCTGCAGCAGCGCCGGGTTGGCCAGCTTGGACTCGACAAAGAGGCGCGTCAGGCCGTCACCGACAAGGCCAGCCACGTAGTGACAGTACAGCTCGTAGTCGGCGATGCTGTTGACCCCATTGGCGTTGTGCTCGGCATTGAGCGCGTAATCGGCCATGCCGTTGCCCATCTTGGTGGTGATGTCGCGAACGATGGCATAGTACTCGGGCTTCATGCGCTTCAGCTCGACAATGACCTGGTCAAAGTGCACAAGCAGCTCGCGGTCCTTCTCGTTGGGGCCGCTCTCGGTGAAGGTCCAGCCGTCAATTTCCATGTTGGAGTCGAAATTGCGCAGCAGCGGGATCTTCTTCTCGTTGGGCAGGGTCATGTCGTCCTCGATGGTGTCGAGGCCGCGGAGGGCGAGGTAAAACAGGCAGATAGGCATGAGCAGCTCCGGGTTCAGCTCCTTGATGACGGCGGCGAAACTGCGCGACGTCAGGTCGAGGTACTCGAAGCATGCCCGCTCCGTCGCCGACTCCTTGGACGGGTCACGCACATGGACAGGGTCGTGCCACAGCTTCCTATCCCAGGTGTTAGCTAACATGCCTCAAAGAAAAAAGGAGGCGCAAACTAGTACAGCACGCGAGCTTTGACACATACCATTGGATAATTGACCGTAGCTGCTTGGGGTGCACCAAGAGGAACGCAATTTCTCCTGCGGACGGCATGGTGACGTGTGTGTGTGTGTGCGTGTGTGTGTGTGACGATAAAAAAGAAGAAGAAAGGAAGATGAGAGAATGGAAGATGTCGAGCTGTCTGGAGCTTGCAAAAGTCTCGGGCTGAGGGCTTGTTACCCTTTGCAGCTTCCGAAAGGGGCAACTCGCAGGTTTTTGTACTTGTGGGTGTTGCCAGTCGTACTTTCCGCCGGAGCTTTGTCCCTCGTGGCAATGCGGAAGGAAGGAACGTAACGGTCTTTTAGATAGGAGGACGGGGCGGACGGTGATAGATCGGGGGAGGGGGATGCGATTGAAACAAGGTTAAGGATGCAAATAGTAGAGAGGAATCCAGAAACGAGGGCAGAAATCGACCACGATACAAAACTACGGGCGGAAAAAACGTGGCCCCGGCAAAATTGACGACCTGTGAAAGTCCGGTGAAGTATTGGAGCGAGATGACAAGGAAGAGGGGAGGGAAAGAAAGCTGTGCCCGAAGAAGGAAGGCGCAGCCCGATCAATGAGGCCTGCAGCCAGTCACCGTTGGCCATGTCCAGTAAAATGGAGTAGCACTCGGGGTTACTCCGCAGATACTGGATGAATTGGCAAGGACGAGTGAATCTGTGGAGACAGAAAGCACAATTGGCCAATGGAGCCACGGGTAAGCCCCTGAAGAAAGTGGGGGCAGCGAAGAAAGTCGAGTTTTGTGATGCGGCAGATCACCAAACAGTTGGGAACCGAATAGGAAACACTTTCTTGGGAGAGTGAGCCACAGCGAAGAGAAGAAAGTGGTCAAGGAAACAGTTTGGACATTTGTCGTTTTGTATGATCTTCTGTTTTGGTTCGAGTCGTTTTTAAGGGACTAGCTGGGGAGCATTTTTGCTCTTTTTCGTATGTTTTGAATTTAAGAAAATTATTACTTTTAAATGAGTTATGAAAATATTTTAATGTTGAATTTCTTTCTTTTCTTTTCTTTTTTTATTAAAAAAATACCGTATATCTTGTTCATACTGATTCTGTGGAAATCAAAATTTCTACATGTCACTTGGTAGACCTCGACAATCTTTCATTTTCTTCGAAGCACCAGACTCTTGTTCTCCACTTGGATGTTCTACTGCACCTGTCAAACCAACCCGGCATGTGCCACCTTTACACGACACTCCATCTTCTACTTAAATATTGATCTTAAGAATAGGCAACATATCCGCTGGCTGGTCTACTTGGATACGAGGTCAGACATCGTGAATGTTTGTAGCCCACTGCCATCTGTTTATCTGCGGTGTTTTTGAATAGTAGCACCATTCAACAGAGCTCGAATGGTTTCTTTCACGTACCGACAATACGATTCAAACAAAACCCAACTTCCATAGTTACAGCCCTGCGCACAGGCACCGTTCGTCTGCAGCCTCGTGCGGCCATGGTGTGGAATGACCCAAAGACAGTGCGAATACAGTGCATTTATACTGTATTCGCACAGTTTCTGTAACCAGGTTTAGGCTCGTCTTAATGCAGGTTGATTGTGCAGGAGAAAAGGCGGTAAGAGCTACCTGCAGCATACGGTCAGTGAAGACGAATGTGATGATCAATTCACCTGTACTTCCTCATCGTACGTTTCTGCTATGCATCTGATGTGGAATGTGCTGTATTTCGAGAGAATGGACGCAAGCGGTAGTGTGTTTCAGCAAGCTTACAAATTAATACTGCCGGATTAATACAGTGCCCTAGGGAGCATTGGAAATCAGAGCAGTCGCTGATGCTCTGCAATACGAGCTTTTTCAGCAGCGTAAACCGCCACTCTGCGCAGAGCCCCTGGCCACGCCCCTTTCAGTACTCGCTGTACTGGGCTAGTGGGCGGTCTCGCCTAGGAAATTCCGTATTGGAAGATTTGCCCCTCTTCGCCCACCTTCTGCTTGCTCTGTAATAGATCGGCGCGCCCTTCTGTCACCGTGCCGCCCCCATCATCAGCAAGCCACAACTGACCCCTCTATTTTCTACATCTGGACCTGGAGTGCACACCATTTTACACCTCTGACCAGCCTCCCAGTACTTTCAGCAGCACGCCAGTTCCACAAAAGGGCCCCTTTTCTTCTCCTCACCGATTGTTTGCTGTCCTCTTTTCCCTCTCCCTCTTCTCTTGTCCTCCTCTTTTGTGTTCTTGTTGTGCCTTGTCCTCCCCAACACTCGCTTTCTGTTCTTGTTTGGTCCCTTGGTCAATCACATCCTCCACGCTTTCTTTTCTCGTTGAACTCCATTTCCCCACCCAATCCACAAACTTCACAATGGCTGCTCCTCTACCCGCTCCCACCGGCAACCGCTTCCTCATCTGGGGTGGCGAAGGCTGGGTCGCCGGCCACCTCAAGAGCCTCCTCGAGAAGGCCGGCAAGGAGGTCTACACCACGACCATCCGCATGGAGAACCGCGAGAGCGTCGTCGCCGAGATCGAGCGCGTCCAGCCCACGCACGTCCTCAACGCCGCCGGCAGCACCGGCCGCCCCAACGTCGACTGGTGCGAGGACAACAAGGAGGCTACCATGCGCTCCAACGTCATCGGCACGCTGAACCTGGCGGACGTCTGCTTCCTCAAGGGCATCCACATCACCGTCTTTGCCACCGGCTGCATCTACCAGTACGACGAGGCCCACCCCTGGGGCGGCCCCGGCTTCACGGAGACGGACGCTGCCAACTTTGACGGTAGCTTCTACTCGGAGACCAAGGCCCACGTCGAGGCCATCATGAAGAACTACAAGAACGCCCTGATCCTGCGCCTCCGCATGCCCGTCAGCGACGACCTGCACTCGCGCAACTTTGTCACCAAGATCTCCAAGTACGAGCGCGTCGTCGACATCCCCAACAGCAACACCATCCTGACGGACCTGCTGCCGGCCTCGATCCTGCTGGCCGAGCACAAGGAGACGGGCGTCTACAACTTCACCAACCCCGGCGCCATCTCGCACAACGAGGTGCTGTCGCTGTTCAAGGAGATTGTCCGCCCCAGCTTCACCTGGAAGAACTTCTCGCTCGAGGAGCAGGCCAAGGTCATCAAGGCCGGCCGCAGCAACTGCGAGTTGGACACCACCAAGCTCATCACCAAGCTCAAGGAGTACAACTACGAGGTCCCCGAGATTCACGCGGCCTACCGCGGCTGCTTCGAGCGTATGAAGGCTGCCGGCGTGCAGTAAGCGTGTAGTGCGTGTTCGAATGGAAGGGGCCGCTATCGCGCGGGACTTCCTTGACCGACGAACTGACGGACACGGGGCTATGTAATGATTTCGCTCTGTGTGGAAACAGTTAGACAAATATAAAAAAGGCTGACGAGCGAGCGCTGGGCACTGTTTTGTCTAATGTCCATGTTTGGATGATTTTGCGATTTTTGTTCTCTCTCTCTTTTTGGCAACTAGATATCCTAGAGACTCTTCCTGACAGGATGGACAGTTTTTGACTATAATATACACCAGCGTGTAGATTTTTCGTTCATTCTTCAGACTGCGATACATTGCAAGTATTCGAGTGTTTCTATGCCGTGCTCTTGTTTTGTTGTGGGCGTTTGACTCGAGCCTGGTTATAGGACGATGGGAGAATGGAGAATGGCAACCACGTGATGTTCCACGTGACCATCTTGCTTAGGTTTTGTCTGTAGCGGGGCATACTGGGGCGTACTGGGTGGGTAGGCAGAAATTTAAAATAAAAACGTTGCCTTTCACAAGGGAGCGCCAGGGCCGTTCCTGCGTGATGACGAAGATGTCCTATCCGGCAAAAGTCGCTTGTTCTCTTCCCAAATGCTTAGTTCCTCAACGTCACATTTCGCAGCCCAATCCCAACTCTGCACCCATTCGCTGCAAACGACACCAATAGAGCGTGCTGGGCTTGACAAGAATTTTTTTTGAGGCGGTAGCGATTCACGTTTCCCCTCGCCCCTTTTGAGGTAGAGCTCTTGTTTCCCTACCGCCACGACACCAACGATAAACAAACTCGACGCTGTGACGATCTGACCGGTCCCGGCGATCCCGACACCACCCTCCCCTATTCCGGCCCTCCCTTTTTCCCAACCCGCCCGCCATGGTGGTCGACACCGCCTACTACGACCTCCTCGGGGTCGCGCCCACGGCCACCGAGCTCGAGATCAAAAAGGCCTACCGGAAACAGGCCATTGTCCACCATCCGGACAAGAACCCCAACGACCCGTCGGCACACGAAAAGTTCCAGGCCATAGGTGAGGCGTACCAGGTGCTGCAAGATGCCGACCTGCGCAAGGCGTACGACAAGTACGGCAAGGACGCCTCCAAACCGTCGGAGGGCTTCGTCGACCCGGGCGAGTTCTTTACGACCATCTTTGGCGGCGATGCGTTTGTCGACTGGATCGGCGAGATCTCGCTGATGAAGGACCTGACGGCGACCATGGACATTACCGTGTCCGAAGAGGACGAGGCGGCTGCGGCGGCCGCCCAACACGAGGGCGGCGACGGTGCTGCGGGCGACGAGTTCCCCGGCACAGAGGAGGCGGTCAAGGAGAGCATGAAGACGGCCAAGGCCGAGGAGGCCGCGGCGGAGGGCGAGGCGCTCGGCGCGGAGAGCGGCCACGTCAAGCCGCCGCCGCCCTACGTCGCCGAGGAGGACCACCACGGTAAAGGCGAGCCCGTTTCGCCAAAGCCAACCGCAGGGGCAGGGTCAGGGGCCGCTAAGTCGGCGGCGGCCCCGTCTCCCTCGACCTCGGGCAGCAACACGCCCAGCCGCCACGCCATCCCGATCCGCCCGGCCCTGATGGACCGCCCCTCCGACGAGGCGGGGGCGTCGGCCGCCGCTGCGGGTGTCAGTGGCGATGCGGTCGAGGACGGCAGCGGCAAGAAGAAGAAGGGCAAGTCGGGCCTGTCGAAGGAGCAGCGCGAACAGCTGGCCGCCTATGAGAAGGAGCGCGCGCGTGTGCGTGAGGAGCGCGTGGAGACGCTGGTGCGCAAGCTGCAGGACCGCGTGTCGGTGTGGACGGAGACGGACCGCGGCGCGGATGTGACGCGCGCGTTCCAAGAGAAGATCCGGCTCGAGGTGGAGGAGCTCAAGATGGAGTCGTTTGGCCTCGACATCCTGCACGCCATTGGCCAGACGTACGTGTCCAAGGCGACGGGCTTGCTGCGCAGCCAGAAGCTGTTCGGCATCAGCGGCTTCTTCAGCCGGATGCGCGACAAGGGCACGCTGGTCAAGGACACGTGGAACACGATCAGCTCGGCCATTGAGGCGCAGCAGACGATGGAGGAGATGGCGCGGATGGAGGAGCGCGGCGGCGAGGACTGGACGGACGAGAAGCGGGGCGAGTACGAGCGGCGGGTGACGGGTAAGATTCTGACAGCGGCGTGGCGCGGCAGCAAATTTGAGATCCAGAGCGTGCTGCGGGACGTGTGCGACGCGCTGCTGCACGACAAGAAGGTGCCCCTCCAGAAGCGGCTGCAGCGCGCCGAGGCGCTGGTTCTGATTGGCGACGTGTGCAACCGGGCGCAGCGGACGCCCGAGGAGGAGGGCGACTACATGGCGTTTGAGCAGCTGGTGGCGGAGGCGGCGATGAAGAAGGACAAGGAGTCCAAGAAGAAGAACAAGGACAAGGAATCGAAGCGTGGCTGGGCGCGTGGCAGCAGCAACAAAGAGCCAGGCGAGCCGTCGGAGGGCAACGACGCCGCGTTCCGGGCAGCGGCCGCCGAGGCCGCTGCGGAGGCGCCCAACGTGCCCCGTTCTTAGAGACGCGAAACGTCACAGCGCTTCCGGTGGACTCGGCCGGAGGCTTTTACGTTTTGAGTTTCGTTGGTTTTTTGGTTGTCTTGTCAGGCGGCCTTGATTGTCCTGTTTGATTCATTATAGCCTGGGGCCGAAGGAGGCTGTTTTGCTACTTTCGCCTTACATTTTCTTTTCCTTTTCCTTTTCCTTTTTCTTTTCCTTTACCTTTTTCACCGCTTACGCTCATATGATGCTGAGAATCTGCATTATTTTGTTAACCTCTAGGCGTGTGCTCCTTGACCGTCGACCCTCCCCTCTAGTTACACCCATACATACATAGTTTTCCTCCCTCCCTTTTTCTGTCTCTGCTCCTTATAGTCTTTCATCATCCCCCACCTGTCTCTGATGACATGGCATGCAGTCTTTTGACCCTGTTCGATAATCACACTTAGATATTTCTCATTTAACCTTTTACAAGTCACTGATAGCCATCTAACCCGGTGACTGTAGGAGCCCCGTACGTATTTGTGGCGCCATGATCTGTCTGTGACTGAAGCTATCTCAAATTTCTGGTGGCTATTCGCTGCATTATTATTTTTATGTCGCATCGGCGCACAGAATGCCGAAGATTCGTGATTTGAATATCCAATTTCCCCGGATCGTCGCACATTGAACATAGCCCCTCTTGTCTGGCATCTACGTCACGAATGACTGAGACAATGGTATTGTCACGCTGCATCTTGTCTCAAGATAAGTCTAAACCCTCGAGTCTGGACACACAGATCGCTCATGGTCATCACTCAGTCGTTCATGTCCATGTTTGCTTCCAAACCACACCGCCAGAGTCAGTGGGCCATTGGGCGTCGACAATCTCCACCGTTCGCGCTATTATCCGCTTGCTGCCCGAGTCGGTGGAGTACATTGAGTACCTGCAGATGCCCGTGGATTGTGAGTTCGACGTAGTCCGTGCAATTGTCCGGATGCCCGCTCCGCGAAAACAACAACACGAAATAACAGCCGGATAACGCATGACGCGATTTGCCTAGACTTGGCCGAGGAGAAACACTGGTGCAAATCGTGGGGTGCTATTGCAGGCATTGAAGGTTTGGAAGCCACACTAAAGCCCCTATATTACAGGGCATTAAGTAAACAAAGGGACGCTGGAGCCGGCCGCTAAGACTATGTAAACAAAAGAAACTGGGAAAACGAGGGAAAAAAGGGGACGGAACGGCAGGGGACGGCAGAGCCGGTTGGTGACCCAAAAAAACATGGGATGAAAGTGTCTAAATCAACATGAAAAAAAGCCGAGAGCAACTCGAGATGTCAAAACGAGTAAAATAACACGCCATCACGTTCCATTATTGCCCAGGATGTGCCCAGAAATGCAATCACAACAACAGCGCCCTGGAATTGCATTCCGATCGGCAAGGGCCAGTCACGTGCACATAACAGGGCATCCTTGCTGTTTTGGTGGAGATAGCACAGACCGGCGGTGTATTGTTGTAAAGTTGGTGGATCTGAGCACTGGAGTCGAGCTTGGCCAGGACGGGATAAGAAGGGATGCAAGTCCCAGCCTCCCACACCGCTTTGTTGGAGAGGGACCGACTGCAGGTAAAAGGTCTATGAAAAAAAAGTACGAAAACCACCAGGGAGCCAATCCACGGGAAGCGGAACGGGCAACAAGGGCGAAAAAAAATACAGAAAAGTCACACCAAAAGTCATTACCAAATTCGTACCACCAAAACACGCCAAAAAGACGCCAATGGGCGCCAAAACCCGCTAGAAGAGCACCAAAATAACGCCCGGCAGCCACTATGCGCCGGACCAACACCACCACACCACAACATCACCCGCCACGAACACCGTCCAGACTGTCCATCTCGACGGCGGCAAAATCAACAACAACAGCGACAAAGACACCTGCCGCATTCCGACCACTGCACACCAATGCGTCGCCGCGTGTGCCGTTGCCACCGCCCGCACGACCGCGCCGTCCAGCCTCGACAATAGGCATCGACGCGAAACGAGCGTCCTCGACAGTTTCGGCTGTTTCTTCGGCCTCTTCAGCAGCCTCCTCGTCCGTCGCCTCGACGGCAACCGCATCTCCTCACATCAGGGCATCCTCGCGGCTTGCCACCTCCCCGTCCAATCGGCCGCCTGCTACCAGCGCCACGCCGCGTCTCGCTCTCCGCACCCGTGACGGCAATGCCGCGCTGTCCCAGGGACCGGCCACGCCTCGATTCCTAAAGCCGCCTCTTCCGTCTCCTGCACCTCGGTCGACGCTCTCCACGCTCTCGGCCCTGTCGTCCTTCTCGTCGGCATCCACACCATCGTCTTCTCCCTCTGTCGCCATGGGCTACGACAAAGACACGCCGCGCAAGCCCACGCTGGCCTCGCGGCCGTTCACTCGCGCTCCGCTGACGCCCAAGATCGCTGCCTCCTCGACATCGTCGTCCACAAGAACGCCCACCCTCAGCTCCAACAGCTCCACCACCCCCAACGCCCACACCGCCTCCTCGCCCTACCAGACTGTCACCGTGTCCACGCCACTTGCCCGACGCGTGACCGGCTTGTCCTCTGCTAGCAGCAACAGCAGCCACTTCTACAGCGGAAACAACGACGCTTCATCACCGTCCCATCTCAATAATGTGACACCGCGGTCGGGCGCACGCCAGAGCCGGGTCGACGGTGGCAGCACCACGCCGAATGGCACGCCCGGCGGCCACGGCTATGGATTGGGTATTGGTGTCGGGGGCGCCGGCCACAACGCCTCGTCGGCCGCCGACCCTGACTCCAAGTTCTTCTACGCCAGCGACGCCAAGTCCTCCATCTCAGCGGCCCCCTCGGCTTCTGCTTCTGCTTCACACAGCACGCCCAGCCTCGCCACCAACGCGTCTGCACGCCCTGCGTCGACCTTCTTCTATGCCAACGGCAAGTCGCTGCCGCCGGCCAACGCCCACCCACCATCCTCGACGTCCGCCTCGACGGCGGCTTTGCCTGCGCATGTCCCGCCGCCCATGGCTTCGCCTGCCCTCTCCACACCTGGCGCATCCGCGCCCAAGTTTATCCACGCCAATGGCGACGCTCTCGAGCGGAAGCTCTCGTCGTCGTCGTCCACACGGCGGGCACCCGCGACACCCGCCACGGCGCAGCCAACATCTGCCGCTGCCGCACCTGGCGCGACTGGCGGTTCGGCGCGGCCCATGTCGCCCGTCAAGATGGCGGCTGCATCGCCCTATCCCTTGCAGAAAAGCCTGTCGTTCCCCGTCGTGGCACCAACGTCGTCCGCCTCATCCTCTGTCAACGGCAGCACCAGTAACACCAGCAACGCCAACCACCGCCCGTCTGTTCCAGGAAACCTGTCTCTGAATGGTACCGCAACTACAGCCGGCACGGCACCCCTCGTTGCCTCGCCTGGCCCCGTGTCGCCCGGCAGTGCCCGTCTGGATGTGCTGTCTCGTCCGCGGAGCAACTTTAGCGCCAGCATTGGCAGCATTGGCTCCGACAACAGTGCCGGTGGCCACTCTCGTAACGGCAGTCTGACCATGGCGGACCCGCCGACGGTTGCGCGTCTGTTGCACTCCTCCCAGCCGAGCTCGGAGGCGCCGTCACCGGCCTCGGCCCAATTCCCCGCCTACCCTTTCCCGAGCGTATCGAGTCCTGGCGGTACATCCAGCCCAAATGCCGCCGCGAGCAGCGGCCTCGCCGCCATTCTGCAAGCCGCCGACGATCTGGCCGAAGACGGTGCCGACGGCAGTGAGGCTGACCACCACGACGGCACGACCGGCGACGAAGAACACGACGAGCTGGGCGACAGTAACACGGGCAAAGACAGCCGCCGCAGCAGCACCAATGTGTCTGCATCGGGCGGCTCCGGCGCCGGCGGCCACACCAACCGCCAGGTCGACGAACTCGTCCTCACGGCGCGGCGCGAGCGCAAAGTCCAAGACTTGGAGATCACCAATGCGTCGCTCGAGGCCATCAACCGCTCGCTCGAGCGCCAGCTGCGCAAGCAAAAGAACGAGCTGCGGCAGTTCCGCCGTCTGTCGCGGTCGGGTCGTTTGTCCCTGGCGCCGTCCACGGGGCCCATGGGTATGGGTGGTGGTGGTGGCGGCAGCCGCGTCACGTCGTCGTCCACGGTCGAGGGCCCCATGCAAGACATGGACCAGCTGCTGGCGGACGACTCGTTCCTCGACGAGTTTGACGAAGAGTACGGGTCGGACATGGACGAGTCGTTGAACGAGGACGAGGAAAACGACGACAACGAAGACGACGCCTCGTCGTCGTCCTACTCGGACGGGAACACCCGCCGCCGACGCGACGAGCGGCGCCTGCAGCTCGACATGGCGCAGCACCGCCAGCTGCTGGTGGACAGCCAGAAGATCAACCAGAGCATCAAGCGGTGCATGAACTGGACGGAGGCGCTGATCCAGGAAGGCCAAAAGGCGCTGACGTTCCAGGTGCGCGTGAGCGAGGTGCAGCTGGGCGGGCGTGTGCTGGCGGCCGACGAGGTGGAGGAGCGCGACAACAGCAGCGCACACCCGGACCCGAGCGCGCACAGCGAGCGGCTGCTCAAGGAGAGCGAACGCCTGCTGGAGGATGGCCATGACGTCCACGATGGCCACGACGACCACGGCGACGTCCTTAACGAACTTGGCAATGACCATTTCAACGAGCGCAGCACGTCAGTTGCAGGTACCAAAGCGGACGCTGCCACGACGGCAGACAACACCGGCGCTATGGTCTCCGACCCGGTCGACACGACGCAGAAGACGACGACGAACACGCCGGCCATCTCCTCTGCATCTGCAGGTTCAACCTCCACCGATGACACCGAACCTACCAGCCGCGACGAAGCGTTTAGTCCAATTAGCCACAATGTACGGACCGTTCGTTTCGACACGGGCAGCGGTGTTGACGAAGCGAAGGACGAGCCCAAACCGGAGGCGCCGATTGGCATCGACAGCTCTTTGCTCGATGGTGGCGCCAGTGCGCCCGCTGTGTCCCTATCGGAAGCCAGCCAGGTCGATGTTGTACCGAGCACGCCCTCCAAACAACCGCCAGCTGCCGCCGCCGTTGACAACACAGCGCCAGTTCTCACAAGCCCCCGTCCAGCTGCAGCCCTGATACAAGGGGACGCCGCTTCCCTGGAGGCTCCGTCGACACCGACACCGACACCACCGGCCGCTGTGACTGCAATCGCAACATAATCGAAAATAAAATAAAAAAAGAATGCCCACACCGGCGGACACTTTGTCTTCACACGTCACTCTTTTCACACAAAACCAACCTTACAATTTCCTATGCCTGTACTACCACCAGACACGAACGAACGGCAACATCAACACACAAATCACCACTCAACCATTTCTTCTTTCGTTTTAGACTGGGGGACAACGGAACGGCGCAACCGGGGACCAAAATGAAAACCAATTTATCCAACAACAACAGGATCGGGACACATCTGCTAGATTTTCTTTTTTCTTCTTCTTATATTCTTTCACTTCGCTTCTATAACTCCATCTGCATCGCCCAACAACCATATTTGACGACCCGATATCCCACAAGAAAGATGGCCCTTGCCCACACAGCACAGCACATGCGACATGACGACACAAACACCAACACGACAACGACAATGACAATGACAAATGACAGACCGAGACGCTCCCTGAGCTTCAGGCCACACCCACACTGTATATATGCGACACAAGAGCCGTGCCTTTCCTTGCCCTTTTTCTGTTTTGCTATACTTTTTGCGTCTGTATTGCATTTGCGTCTCTGGTTTGGGAGATGAACGAACTTACGAAAAACACGAGCAGCACCTTTTGTTTTGTTATTGACCTTGTCTCTATTTCTGGTCTTTAATATCAACCTTTTGTCCTTTGTCTTCTGTCCTCTGTCTTTGTATCCCATATGTTGTCATTCCGGCTCTTTGTCTGCTTGTCTTTCTGTCTTTTGCTTGCCAACGTGCGTTCTTGTCCCAGGCCAGGCTCTTCGCATGGTCCATCCGTGTCGTTTCTTTATTGTTTACTATTTATTGGAATGTGGGATCATAAACGGACCACCCACACGGGCATGTATATCTTGTATATTGGAGCGATTTTTTCAGCCCTTTTCCTGCATCAACAGATGCCTTCCACGACACCTGCAGGACGCAAAAACAACACACCTCGAACAGATACCCTTGTCTTTTTAACACTTTTCTTTGTCTTTGTTAATTTTTTCTTTTTTAATTTTCGGTGTACTTGAATACAATACAATCATCTGAACAATGCAAAATTGAACAAGTTGACTATTGTAGGTCGGGACTCTGGTCTCATCTTACATGACGAGCGTTGCCCTGAAAAACTGTAAGACGCGCTGCTAGCTGATAACAAGGCCGTTTTAATTGTTACCGACAGGGCATCACTAACCGACCCCAGGGGCATTTCAGCGAGGGGCAAGCCCCAGAACTTTTGTTACAGGGCCCGCGAAGCACCACTACCTGTAGAGCCACTAAATATTGCCGCTACCACATGCCGTTCAGTCGCCACATTCCATACACCTTTTTGTTTAGCGCCGCAGCTCTCATTTGGCTTTGTTCTCCGCGACCAACCCACGACACATCTACACGCCACCCTACGCAGACAATGGGCGTCATCGGCATCACCCTCATTGTTGCATCGCTTGCTTTCTTCGTCATGTACCCATCGACATGGCGTGCCTTGGCGCAACCACTCATGCAATGGCTGCAGTCCGACGCTGCCGACGAGGCGCCGGCGTCGGTGTCTACGTCCGCAACGGACAAGGTCAACCAGGAAAAGGCCGTGATACAGGACGGCCGAGAGACAACGGTCTCGTCCCTGACCTCGTCCAAGACGCAGAAAGATCATGACAGCGTGTCCATGCCTCCACCGCCGCCGCCGCCGCCAACAATACGAATGCTTGGCCAGCAGGACGAAGAAGACGAAGAGGAGGAGGCGACAACGCCCAAGGCAGTCCCCGCGATCGTCCAGGACGGCAGCGCGATCCCGACGTTGTCTCTGTCGGGAGACGACGATGACGACGAAGAAGAAGACGACGACGACTCGGACAACATGCCGCCGCCCATGTTCCCGTCACCCTATTCGGCCCAGCGCGCCGGCGCATCTGCCGATCCTTCCAGGCTGGCGAAGGCGACGGCGGAGCCTCCAGCCTCGACTGCGTCCACTCCGTCAAGCTTTGGCCTCATGGCACCCCCGCCCCGGCCGGCCCTCAGCCGCGGCGCTGCTGCTCTGGCGCCTGTCAATGCAGCCCGCCGCCCGGCCAACCTCCCGATACCCAACCGTGGGCCCCCGGCGTCGTCGCTTCGGGCGCCTGCCACAGCGTCCTCCCCCTTCTCCTCCACCTCGTCGCTGGCGCCCCCGCCGTCCAGCACCACCAAACCCAAAAAACCCTCCCGCAAGGTCGTCTTGGCGCCCGGCCACAGCCCCCTCGACTGGGCCCGCGTCGCCGCAGACCCCGTCGGCAATCGCCTGCGCGGCAGCCTGCCCGCCGACGCGCCGTACCTGCTGCGGGTGACGCCCAGCCAGCTCAAGCAGATGAACGGGCGCAAGGGCCGGGACGCGTGGACGGCGCTGGGCGGCATGGTGTACAACATTTCGCCGTATCTGCCGTTCCACCCGGGCGGCGCGGGGGAGCTGCTGCGGTGCGCGGGCAAGGACGGCAACCAGCTGTTCAACGACATCCACTCGTGGGTCAACTACGACAACATGCTGTCGGCGTGCCGCATCGGCGTGATGGTGGAGGAGCACGCGGCGACGACGAGTCCCATGGAGGAGATGGATTAAGAGGACCGTGGAGGACGTGTACAGTGTACAGTGTACAGTACGACGTAAATGTATATTACGCTCTAGATACCCCCCCGGATAGAATAGAAACAAGGTTAACTCATGCCGCTCTAATCCGTACATTTCCCGTACATTGTCGTACATTTTTTTTGTTCATGTTTTTCTCGACTAACGCGAGCTGCTACCGCCGGCTCCTGAATTTAAACTTGAGCCCGTCGTCTTCGTCGCTGTCGCCGTCGTGGATCGCAATGGCAGCCGACGCCGACCCGGACGCGGCCGTGCCCGACGAGTGGGACGTGGCCGTGTTGTTGCCCGCCGCGCCCCGCCGCGGCCGTTTGGCTGCCGGTGGTGGCGCCGCCGCAGCGCCCGCCGTCGGTCGCTTGGCACCCCGGCCGGCTCTTGTGTCTGCGGCGGCGGCGGCGGCGGCGGCCGAGTGGCTGCTGCTTGCTTGCGTCGACGGTGGCGGCGTGTCAAAAACGACCAGGGACGACGACGTCATGGACAGCGGGTCGGCAATGGATGCGGTGCCGCCACCCGACGGTGTCGTCGCGGCTGCCCTGGCTTGTGAGGCGGCTTGGGTCTGGCGTGCCACGGCCGTCCGGACACCTACTTTTCCTGCGCGTGTCCGCGGCAGGTCGGCTGATGGCCGTGGCGATGTGGTCGACGACATGGTGGATGCTGGCGCGTCGTTGTCCAGGCTGGGGTGATGTTGCTGTTGCCGATGGCTCTGACGTGTGGGACGCATTGTTGTTGTTGCTGCTGTTGTTGCTGCTGTTGTGGCTTTTTGTGGTGGTGCCGCGACTGGCGCGGCAAGTTCGTCGTCGTCATCGCCGCCGTTACCGCCGTCTTCTGGGTCAGTGTCCGGAACAACCTCCATGTCGACGGACGCCGCGCCGGCAGACGCTGCATCGGCATCCATGCTTGTGCTGCGATTGGAGCGTGACGCGGCGGATCGTGTGTCTCGGACAGGCAAGACGTCGGCCGGCGTCAGCAGAGCACTCGTGTCCACTCCGGGTGTGCCATGTCGTCCGTTTCGTGCCGCATTGGCAGTGTTCTGGCGGTGCTCTGGACGATCGTCGCCGCCTTCGAGCCAGTACCCGTCGCCAATGCCGTACTCTTTCGTCTTAGCCGGTTCCAGCCCGACAATGACGCGCGGCGGCGGCCGACCGACCACATCCCCTTGGCGGCGGAACTTTTTGAAATTGCGCCGGCCGTTCCATTCGGGGTTCCATCGGCCGTCGGCCGTACGACGGTCGACGGCCGCGCCGTTCTTGTCTGCCTTTTCCGCCTTGGTCGGCATTCGGACCTCGATGGTTTCGACGAGCGTCAGCTTGCGGATGGCTTCTGCATCCAGACCGTCGTCGGGCAGCTCGGCGAGACGGGCGCGCTCGGCGGCCAGTTTTTGCTCTGCCGCCTCACGGTTGCGACGGGCCTGGTTCAGGATGTCGGCCTCGGTCATGTCTTGTTTGATGGCAACTGCCTTTTTCGCCACTGCTAGGTCAGCATCGTCATCGCCGGCATCCTTGTCGCTGTCTTCCATCCTCGGTACCGGCTCGTGCCCGGCCTCGATACGCCGGCGCTTGACGGCCGCCGCCGTGGGTGCAATGTCGTCCATGACGTCGTCGTTGTCGTCGTCGTCGGCCCCAGCAGCAGCGCGGGCAGCGGCTGCGCCGCGTTTGCTTCGCCGTGTTGGCTGTTCCTGCGGCACGTCGGCAGTGGGATCTGGTTGTGAGACGAACATGTTGTCGTCCTCTTTGTAGGCCTGTGACTGGGATGGCTTGACGTTGGCGTCCAGCGCCGCCAGTGCGTTGGTGCCCAGATCGTCTTCGATGTCGGACGACTCCAAGTCGGCATCGAAGCCCTTGAAGCGGCTCGTTGTCACGCCGCGCCGACCGCGCGCACGTCGTGTGGCCGTCGACGCCTGGGACATGCTCATGCTCGGCGGCGGCGGGCGTTGCGGACCGTCCACGTTGGCATCGGCGTCCACGTCGACAGCGGCGTCGACGTCGACGTCCATGGCGGCGGCGCCCGCGGCCTCTTCCACCTCGAGCGGCCGCCGCAGCATGCTCGGCTCGACGGCGAGAATGGCATCCAGAAACTCGCGCTGGTCAATCAGGCGGTGGTCCAGGCGCAGGGCCACGGCCGTGGTAAACCGCGTGAACCAGGCCACATGGTCGCCCTTGGCGGGGACGTAGCGCACCACCACAACGCCGCGGCCGGCGCTGCCGTCCTCAAACTCGCCCATGCCCGGTTCGCCGGCGACGCCCTTGACAAAGCGCACAAAATCGTCGACTTGGGTGTGGTTGGGCACGACGGCGTCGGCGCCCGCGGGCAGCAAGGCCTTGCCGCGGCCGCTGCTGATGGGCGGCAGCAGGTTGTCGTACTGTTTCTGGTCGTAAAACACAAACGTGTAGCCCTCGAAGATGTTGGCGCGCCGCGGGTCCGGGGCGTAGATGCTGCTGGGGCGGTTGCTGGGCTCGTCCCCGCGGGGCGGCAGGTGGTCGAGGGCGCTGGGCCAGGCGGCGTCCCAGTCGCTTTCGAGGGCGCCGTCGGCGGCGCCGGCGGCGGCCACGACGGCATCCAGAAAGGAGTCGCTGACAATGTAGGCGCCACTGACCAGCGCCTGCAGGCCGCGCGAGGTGTTGCGCTTCTTGGCCACGACGTGCGTGGTCTGGCCGGCGCGGAACTCGGCCACAAACTTGATGTCCAGGGGCCCCAAGTCACGGTGCAGGCGGGTCCAGGGGTTCTGGGGGTCGTCGGGAGCGGTGGCGCGCAGCTCTTTGGACGTGAAGGAAAACGAGAAGACGACGGGCTGCCACGAGATGCTGAAGAGGTCGGCCATGTGGCCCATTTTGATGGTGGTGCGGTCGCCCGTCAGCACATGCCTGGTGCCGCGGATCTGCGTCGTGCCGTTGATGACGGTGCCGATTTTTGTGGCCAGGTCCTCGACGGTGACAGCCGAGCGGGCATCGACGTCGCTGCCGTCGTTGTCGCCGACGGGACCGATCTCGATGGTCAAGTGCTTGCGGGAGATGGTCTTGTCGGAGATGACGAGCTGGCCGGCTGGGGAAGTTAGGACGATGAGAAGTCTGGCAGGAAGTAGGACAAGATGACGGGCAGTGGAAGACAGATACTCACGTTCAGCTCGGGTCCGGCCAAAGATGTAGCGCTTGCCCGGGCGCAGCCACAGCCGTCGGCCTGTTGTTGGCTGTTAGCAGTCGTGTGAGGAAATGCGTGTAAGACGACGCAGAGAGCGAATTACCTTGAAAGGCGCTGCCGGCATTCTCGAGCAGCCACATGGCGGGCGGCACTGGAGGAGGCTTTGACGAGCCTCTGGTGTGGTGTACGAAGCAATAATGTGGCGGTTGTATTTGGAGGGAGAGAAACAGGTGAGGCTGTTCACGGCAAGGCAATTAGTTCACGACCGTTTTGGGGAACTTGGGCAGGCGCGATGCGCGGCACAAAAGTGGGCCCAATCCACGTTCCTTCTCCAGGCACCAACGCGGATGCACGTGATCACTTTTACGATGACAGCTTGTTATGCGATGCAGTGTTTTCTTGTATTTGTTGATGAATGCCTTGTTGCCAATGAAAACCAATTTTTTACAGACTCGCTTTACTGTCCTTCGCCGCCTTCTTCGGCTTCCGCGTGGTGGCCCACAGCCCGTCGACGACCTCGCGCACCGCCTCGGGCAGCGGCCCTCGCTGCATCTCGGCGACGTTGGCCCGGATCTGCTCGACGGTTTTGGCGCCGAAGATGACGCCGTCGGCCGTGCCGGACAGTGCCGAGTGGTGCAGCAACCAGCGCATGGCTGCCTCTTGCGTGGTCATGGGCGGGTCGGCGGCGGCACAGACGGCCTGCAGTCGACGCACAGCGGCATGCATGGCCGGGGTGTCGTAGATTTTGAGGTACGCAGGGAACGCACTGGCGCCATGCCACCGTGTGCGCAGGAGTTCGCCTGGCGGTCCTTGTCCTCGACTGCCCGCTTCACCCTGTCTGTCTTTTGCCGCTGTCACCTTGCCCGTCAGGAACCCGCCGGCCAGCGGGCTGTATGCATAAAAGGCACAGCCGTGGCGGCGCAGCAGCGGCAGCAGCTCGTCCTCGGCCTCTCGGCGCAAGGCATTGTACATGCCCTGCACGACGGCCGGCTTGATGTACTTGTGCGCCTCACAAATGTCGAAGAACGAGGCCACATCGGCCGGCGCATAGTTGCTGAGGCCATACTGGGCGCAGCGTCCCAGACGGACCTGGCGGTCAAGGGCGGCCGCCTGGGGGGCCAGGGGCGTGATGCCGTCGTTGGCGTGGGCGTAGAGCGTGCGGACGCGGGGAACGCGCAGGAGGGCGAGGGAGTGGCTGATGCTGGCGTCGACGAGGGCATCGGACAAGAATGGTTCGCCGGCACGGACGAGCACTTTTGTGTCAATTGTAAAGGGCGTCAAACGAAACGAGTCTCCCGGCAGGCAGGCCGCTTGCCCCAGCAGGGTCTCTGTGTTCCAGGCATTGCCGGGGGGGTAGCTGGCGGCCGAGTCGAGTGTGCAGAGGCCCAGACGGCGCAGTTCTGTCAGTAAAGCAGCGACTTTGGCGGGCGTGTCCCAGGTGTAGGTAAAGGACGTCGCGGTAGTACCGATGCTGCCGGCGCCAAAGACGAGATGCGGCATGGCGGAGGCGCGGTGACGGGCGGGTGCCAAGTGGCAATTGTCGTCAAGGGTTGTACATGTATGTCGATGCGAAGTTCTATCGTTTGCCAAAGAGGGGACGAAGAGACGGGGCTAAGATCGGAACGGCCCCATACCGCTAAAGTGTAAGTGACGAGCGGCCTCTGATTGGCTAACTGGACTACATGAACATGATTCTCTGTTTGGGGCACAACGTCATGTTTGTTGCGTTTTGGAAATGCATTGTACATTGTTTGCAAATGAAAGACAAAAATTTGCTATTGTATCCATGAAAAATTGCCACTCAGCAGGGCTGATACGGACCTGAGCGACCTTGAAGGACTCGACGTCTGCTGGTCAAATCGACGTCGTCCTGGTCGTTGTCGGGGGTAGATGTCGGCGTGGACAAGGCAAAAGAGAACAGACGTGTCATTCAGACTGAATGCCGAGAAGAGCAACTTGTTAGGAGAACATGTCAGGAGAATTTGTCAGAAAATCTTGTCAGAAGAACTTGTCCCTCACATATGTGGCAGACGTGAGGATGAACAAGAACAGATTGTGAGAACAAACAAGGCTTCATGACAACAAAAAAAATGGGCCTTCATTGCATCCAACAATGAACAAATAAAATTTCATTCACACACAAAGAAGCACGCACAAAAAAAAGTAAACAGATGGAGTCGACTTGACCAGTCACAGGTGAACTGTCATCTTGACCTGTTCGTCTGCCGGCGCACGGATGAAGTTCATTGAACAACAGTACGGAACATCATGAACAAGACGACGTCGGTTGACGACGACATGGACAGCTGCCGCACAATACACAATGTTCAAAATGAATCGAGACGCATATATAACTTCAGACAGGATGCCGTCACATTTCCCCTGATGTCTCTAGACAACAACCACAAACACAAAAAACATCACCAATATCACCAGTATCACCAACATCACCAACATCACCCACCACATCATCTCCAGCATCACCATCGTAAGAGATGGCTCCGCCGGCTCCTCCCATGTCCCGCCTGGACACGCTCCCTCTCGAGCTCCTTCGGGAAGTTTTTGACTACGCCTTTGCCGGCGGCGACGATGACTTGGAGTTTGATGTGAACGACTGCTACCCCATCGACCGCGACTACGCCAACCTCGTGAAGCTGGCCCAAGACGAAGAAAGCTCGCCGACTATCCGCGCCATGGCTGTGGAGCAGCAACACCGTATTATATCTCTCATGCTCTCCCAGACGCCCAAGACGGCCGTGGATGCAGTGACTAACATGACTAACCACCTGCAGAACTCGTGGCAAAACGGCGGGAGTGTGCGCCTGCTGCATCTCCGCCGCAACCCGCTGCCGGACGCAGTTGACGAGATGAGCGACGAGCTGCTGGGCACATTCGACGAGATGAGTGACGAGCTGCCGGAAGGATTGGACGAGATGATTGGCGAGCTTCCGGACGCATCCGACGCGATTATGGACGAGCTGCTGGACGCATCCGACGAGATGAGTGACGGTAATGAGGGCAGCGAGGGCGGTGACGACAACAACGACGCATCCAGATCCAGCGCCAGCACCAGCGACGGCGACATAGTGGCAGCCGGCATCCTGGGCCTGCTGCATACGACGCCCGGCCTGACCCGGCTGGTGGCAACGATTCCAGGACTCGGCCAGGCACTGGCTGCTGGCGCCGACGCTGACCCGCCGCTCTTTCTGGGCCGACTCCGTCGCCTGGAACTGTACGAGCCGCACACCGACCCGGCCGCCACCAACACCGCCGTGCTGGACACAAACGGCGCTCTGCTGCGAGGCTGCCCCGGACTCTCGATGCTGCGGCTGCAAGGCTTCTGCGGCGTGGTCTCGTCGACGCTGGCGCCTGCCTCGTCTTCTCAGGCTGCCCGCATGCAGAGCCTCCGCTGGCTCGACCTCGTCGGGTGCTACATCCCTGCGGCCGGGCTCTACAAGATTCTCGACCTCATTGGCCCGCAAATGAGCAGCCTGACGGTCGAGCTCCTGCGGTGGACCTGCCGACCCTCACAGGCCGAGGACGACGCCCAGAGACGCCGCATGTTTACGACCTACGACCTCTTGGACGCGCTTGTCTCGCGCGGGGCCACGACCTCGCTTCGCACCCTGGACCTCCAGCGCAAGAACTTTCCGGTGGCGGTGGCGGCCATGGCGGCCGGTCACGACGACCCGCACGAAGTCCACGAGGACGCCGGCGCCATCAACCGCCTCGGGCCTTCGGTCATGGACTTGCTGCCCGCGTTTTCTGCGCTCACGCACCTGGTTGTGAGCATTGACGTGCTCGACTGGCGCACCGTCGACGCCGGTATCGTCGATTTTGCCGCCACGCGCGCCGTCGCCGGCGCCCTCGTGGCCCAGCTGCCCCCCAACCTAATTGCCCTCACCGTGATGCCCGCCCTGCGCGAGGACGACTTTATGCTCGACGTGCTCCTCTTTGAGCACACGCACAGCGACAACGACGACATGTCGCTCGTCTGCCCGGGCTGGTGGCCCCGTCGCCAGGCCCTGATGCAGGCTCTGATGGCGGCGACGCGGGGGAATGGTGGAGGCGACGGCGGCGGAAGCAACAACAACAACAACAACAGCACGCCCCATCTGTCCCAGCTCGCCTCCATTGCCATTCCGCACGCCTACGACACAATCGAAAACGAAATGGTCGCGTACCCGGCCGCGGCCACGGCTCTCAACGACAACGACCAGGCCCCGACGCCCCACACCGTCAACATGTTCGGCCGCTTTGCGACGCAGGTGCTCGCCTTGGGCCCGGCCGACCAGACGACTGTTTTGCGGTGGAAGAATGGCATTGTGCTTCACACCTACGTCTTGTGAGGGCTGGGGCCTTGAGTAATGCCGCGTCCAAAGGAACAAAGGTAAGTCGAGGAAGTGAACAAGGTGAGTCAAGGTAAGTTTTTCCTTTTTTCCAGTTTTTTCAATTTTGTTTTACGAAAAAAATTCCTGTTTTTGTTTTATCGTTAACTAAATCACCTTATTAAAAATGAAAACATAAAAATTGATATGAACTTCAACAATTTGAACTATGAAACAGCAAAACAGTGATAAAATTAAAAAAAAAAAAATAGAGTAACGAACTGCAATGACTCCCACTATTTTTGTCTATAAAAACATGGACAGTTAAAGACGGCTGTAAAACTGTTAACTTTAGTAAAAGCTTAAAAAATGAAATAGAGTATATAGTACTGCCTCCTTCTTACTTAATTTTAAACAAAACAGTGCCGAAACACAAATAAAAATAAAACAGAGTAGTGTAACTCACGGTATAATTTCCCTTGTGTTCTTCAAAAATATTGACTAAACAAAACCATGGCAAATTCATAATGTTAATAGTAGATACAAAAATCTATCGGTTTTAATTGTAAATCACGCAGTGACAAAACAAAAACAAAAATAAAATAGAGCAACTAACTATAACAATCCCCAGGAATATAGGCTGGCGAGTCCACCACGTCCTACTTTCTCTCGGGAAATCTAATGGATGACGTGTGGTCGTCGGCCAGGAGCACAAGCTGGTCGGCGCAGAGGGCCGTTAGCGTGATTGTGCGCGTGGCAGTGGCTCCCTCATCTCCGTCTCCCTCATCCTTTCGGACAACGTCGTAGTCGGGGTCGGTCTCGGTGCGGCCGGGGCTGTACTCATCCATCCACGAGAGCTCACCCTTGGCGGGGACAATAGTGCGGGTCTCGAGGTTGGGCGGCAGCTGCGCCACCAGCGCGTCGGCGACCTCGCGCGTCGCCTTTGCGCGCGTGTTGAAGGCGGTGCGCCAGTCGAGCAGGTCGATGCTGATGCCGAGGTGGCGCAGGGCCGTGAAGCCGGCCAGCAGGGCCGTGGAGGACGGCCCGTGGCGGTCGCGTACGTGGCGGTCCTCGTCGTCGGCACCGGCCACGTCCAGCAGGGAGGGCTCGTCCGTTATGATGTAGTGATTGACGTCCATTTTATAGACGGCCGCCAGGCTCGAGAGGGAGGTGGCCTGCCAGGGCCGGAGGGCCGCCAGCAGGTCGTACAAGGTGAAGAGCTCATCACCCTGCGGGCGGTACCGATCGTCGCCGAGTTGTATCAACGTCACAGGGTCGGTCGTGCTCGGCCGGCACGTTTTACGACCGAGGTCCATGTATACATCCTTGAGGTGTGGCCCGACGGCAGCAACAAGGGTGCGCACGGAGATGGGCATCAAGAAACATACGTCAGCGTACAGGGACGTCAGATAGGCAAGAGAAGGAGACGCAGGAGGAGCCATGTTTGCATCCGCTGTGCCAGTCGCCCGGGCCGTCGAATACACATGACTAATCTTATAGATGCTGAGAGTCTCCAGGAACGGCGCGGCGCGCACAAGAGCACCGTGCATATCCAGCGCGCCGGTGTCCCAGTCGCTTGTCAGCTCCTCAATTTCCAAGTGCCGAAGACGTGCGAGATTGGGAACGGCGGCCCGGTGCGCGTCGCTCGCCTCGCCCGGAATGATGCCCAGCTTTGGCACATAGCACTGGAGCGTCTGGAGGCCCGGCAGCAGAGTCAGGAGGTCCAGTATTTGCACCGCCGTGTTGGCCCACTGGGATGGCGTCCGGTACAGCTTGTATGGGCGCAGGTGCGTCAAATGGGGAGCGAGAGCCTCGTAGGCGGCCGCCATTCGGTCGACGCGCGCCCGCGTCACCGCCGCCGTGTTCATACAAGCCGCAATGTTCTCAACACGAGCGGGACGTATTCGACTGTACAGTTCCGAGACGCGAACGCTGTAATCGTCTTGTTCCAGCCGAAGACGACGGACAGCGAGGGCCAGATCCGGCTCGGCACGCAGCTTCGCGGATGTCGCCTGAATGTCAATCAAGACGTCAGACGACTGACAAACTTCAAATTCAAGTGGCGCGATCAGTACGTCGACACTGGAGTGCAGCCACTCACGAGCCACGCCGCGCACCGTCGCTGAGTTGAGCGGATCGGCTTCGAGGCCAAGCAAGACATCATGGACGTCGATCGAATGCAAGGTTGAGTCCCCAAGAAGGTGTTTGCTGAAGGCGTGGCCGAATAATATGTGCAGCAGCTCGACAGGAAGCGTGTCGAGGCGCGATGCGGGGACAGTGTTTGACGCCATATTAGTATCGTGGTAGTGGTGTTTGTAGCAGTGTTTGTTTGGTATCAATTGAGAATATTTCGCTTCTGGTTATACACTCGAATACTGGTGGAGTACAGTTTGTATTTATGCTTGTCGTTGAGGGTGGTTCAATCAATGAAATGTGTCTCTGAAGACAGTTTTGTGTCTTTGAAGAAATGGTCAGGGGTAAGAAAACAATGGGAATAAGGAAAAGGGGACAAAGACAAGCCATTGTGTATGTAAACAAAGGACAGCTCTCGCAGCTGCAACTACGCTCTTGTTCATTGTTGCACATTTTCCTTTCAAAAAGACGAAAAGAAGAGACGTGAATGGGATTGTTCATATTAAAGGACAGTGAATGGCTTCTGTTCATATAAGTAAACAAGGAAAACAAAACAATGGACTTATATTCTAATGTTTCCCTAAAGAAACTTGTCTAGTGAGGAGAATAGAGATGTTCAGTAATAAAAACAGAAATGAAAGAACGAAAAGAACGAGTAAAAGAAGGGATAAAGCAGAAAAATAGAAAACAAAAAAGCGGCCATGCGTCGTCATAGTCTATAGACGTGGATCGTACGACACTTCAAAGCAAGGCAGCGTCAAGATCTACAGCTCAGCGTCAAGCATATGATCAGACATTTGTAATTGTGCTTACTTTTATTATGTAGGAAAGAGAATACGGAGTTTACATTGATTTTGATTTTGATTTTGATTTTGATTTTTAGTTTTAGTTTTAGTTTTAGTTTTAGTTTTAGTTTTAGTTTTAGTTTTAGTTTTAGTTTTTGAATTTTGAATTTTGAATTTTGAAAATTTTCGTTTTCAGTTTCAGTGTCCAGTTTTAGTTTTGAAAGGTTATTTCAAGTTTACCGTATTACCGTTTAGCGCAATTTATGTAATTTTTTTTTTTCAAATCATTTTATTTTAAAAACAAAAAACAAATTCAAAGGCCAATAAAAAAGGAAATGAACAAAAGCACTTACCTCTCGATTGCCTACGGCATATCCTACCTCTCGAGACGGCTGGCCGGACGTAAGAGGTTGTCGTAAAACACGGCCATTTCGTCAGTGACACCGTCGTAGACGTTGGGTCGGCGGTTGGCAATAATGTCGTCGGTGTATTCCGTTTCGAGTGTGATGTCACGGGTCGTGGGGGCCGTACCCTTGTCCGCTGTGGTCGTTACATTGTACGTCACGCAATCTACATACGGATACGTTTTGATCGTGGTCAGGTTGGGGAACCGGCTATCGCGCGTCGCCGCCACCAAAGCCTGGATCATGGCAGCACGGCGTGGTTTCCAGGCGGCTTCGTACGCCTCCTGCAGATCCATGCCCAGCGCCGTGTCCATCGGCACATCAAAATCATTCTGGTACAAGGCAACGTCGAATGTGACGCTCTCGATGTTTGGCGGCAGCTGGGCCACGAGCGACGCAGCCACGCCGGTTGTCGTGTCGACACCGTTCCTCCCAGCCTCCGCGTAGGTGCCTGCGCCCCGCCAGTCGAGCAGCGCCAAGTCGATACAGAGTGTCCGCACGCTCGTGAACCCGGCCAGCAGCGCCATGGCCGACGGGCCCGGTGGCGGCGGGATCGCATACTCTTCACAGGGGGCGCCGAGGTGCGCGACGCGCTGGCCGGCATAGGGCATGTTGATGGTGAGCGAGGTCAGCGAGGTGGTCTTCCAGGGCGCGAGCTCCTCGAGCAGGTCGTACGTCGAAAAGTTGAGGTCGCCTTTGTCGAAAGACATGTGGGACGGCCGGGCCGACTGGAGCGCGGGCGCAATGTCTGCGGTGGCGAGCCGCGGGCCAACGGTGCCCAGCAGACGCTTGAGCGAGGCGACCGACATGGGCGAGTTGAAAATGGTCAGCTCCTCGAGGTGCTCGAGGTGGGCTTCCCCCGTCTCTTCGATCTTGCTCTGCTGCTTGCCAAGGAGCAAAGCCTTGGACGACACCACGTTGCCAATGTGCATGACAGTGAGCTCGCGCAGGTTTGGCGCGCACCGCATCAGCAAGCCGTTTGTGTCCAGCACGCTGAAGCGGTTCCGGTCCAGCGTAACCTCGTGCATCTCAAGCGACTGAAGGCGGCGCAAGACAATTTTGTTCTTGTTGTTGCTACTATTGTCGTTGTTGTTATCGCGATCCTCCTCCATCGGAATCACGGCCAGGCCCGCCATCGCCATGGTCAGCTTCTGCAGCCCCGGCACCGAACCCAAAAAGTCGTGCACTTGCACCGCAACCCGCGCCCAGTAGGCTGGCTTCTCGTAGACATAGGGCCGCTCACGAGGCGAGGGCATGTCTTGTTCCATCGAGTCAAGGACGTGCAGCAGCGCCTCGTGGTGTTTCTTGAGCTTGTTGATGCGGTTGTGCTGCTTTTTGGTCGTGGTCAGATGGTCGGCGACGCCCTTGGCGTTGTGCATCTTGTCAGGGTTAGGTTGGTTGTAGTAGGCTAGTACCCATAGCGCGGCCCGGCGCACACTGTTCCCCAAGCCTGGATCGGCCTGGAAGGTATGGACGCCCGAGTTGAATGCCTCCAGCGAGGAAGGCCTGAAGTTGCGATACAGCTGCTCGCTGGCCAGACGGCGGACCAGATCCGAGTTGAGCCGGTCGTCCGCGATGCCCTTGACGATCGATTCGTAGCCATTGGGGTCCACGAAAGCGTCGGAATCCTTCAGATAAGGCGAGTAAATGTCCTCACCAGCGGAGCTGTCCTCGTCACCGCATTCCAAATGGAAATCCGAATCCTTATCGACCGTGTCGGAAAACGTCATGTCAAAGATCTGACGCAGCACTTCGACGGGAAGCGTGTCGAGGCGCGACTTGGGAATAGCAATAGAGCTCATCGTGGTCTTTGGTGTTGGTTTGAATTTGGGTAGTTATGTAGTAAGGATTGTAGGTTATTGTAAAGCGAAGTGTAGTTGTTGACAGTTGTGGTGGTCGTATGACGGTCTTGTAGAAAGAATGCCGGTGACGACTCGATATAAATATACATCTGGATGGCTTGAACAAAGCCTGTTGTTCATCTTGTATTGGGATTTTGCTGTCATTGTCGTCAAACTGTCAAGTTGTAAGCTGTGCAAATTGTGAATTGTGAATAAAGAAGCCCAGGATAAACAAACAATGGAACAAGAGGCAAGGGGTACCTCTTGAGCAACAAAGGCAGAGACAAAAGGAACAGAAAAACAAGAACAAAATAAACGAACAACATCTTTGTTGAATAACAAAGAAATTAATGTAAATCAATCTTTTGAGCGCTCGGCAAAGAATGGTTGCAGCAATGGACATGCGAGGAAAAGTGATCATAGGACAGCACGGAAGAATTATGATAGATAGTATTAGATGTAAAAATGTAGAGAAGTGCAAATGAGACGTTCAATTTGTCGAAAACGGCCATTTCAATCATCAATCTCCCCTACCAGCCGTGCAAACACGCCATCGCGCCCCTGCGCCAGCAGCGCCGCATACGAACCGCTCGCCGCCACCGCACCGTCCTGCACGACCAGCAGCCGGTCGCACAGCTGCATCATGGCCTTGCTGTGCGTGGCCACGACAATGGACATGCGAGCGTGCCGGCTGTTTTGCTTCAGAGACTGCAGCGTATGGCGGACGGCTTCGGCCGAGGACGCGTCCAGGGCACTGGTGGGTTCGTCGAGGACGAGCAGCTGCGGGCGACGGAGCAGGGCGCGGGCAATGCACACCCTCTGGGCCTGGCCGCCCGACAACGACGATAGCACGGACGGTGTAGTGGAGGTGTTGTTGGCAGTCTCCGTCTGCGGCGTCGCAGCGTTGCCCACCACCGTATCGTACCCTTCTGGCAGTGACGCCACAAACGCATCGATGCCTGCCGCACGCCCGGCCTGCTCCATGCGGACCGTTCGCGCCGCCATGGGCCAGATGGTTGCGCGCTCTTCGTCCGTCACGGGCTCCGCATCCAGACCGTACGTGATGTTGTGCCGCAGCGTCCCCGGAAACAGATACGGCTGCTGCGGGACATAGGCCATGCGAGCACGCAAGGCGTAGGTGTCTATTTGGTCGGCCGGAATGCCGCCAAACGACAACTGACTTCCGGCGTTCTGTATCTCACTCTCGTCCGCGTACAGCCGCAACAGAAGCGACAAGACCGTGCTCTTGCCCCCACCGGATGCGCCGACAATGCCAACAAGCTCACCCGGCTGGATGACCAAGGACAGATTGCGCAAGACGGCGGCGTCGCCAGGCCGACTGCCGTTTTGGTCGGTACCATATTTGAACACCAGACGGTCCATGCAAATGGGAAAGAGAGAGGTCGGGATGATGCCGCCGCCGTGGTGCTCGTGGCCCGCGTCGCGTGGCAGGGCGGCAAACTCGAGCATCTGCACGGCAACCGTTTTGGAGGCTGCCATCTGCGGCACGTTGCCAAGCAGCGCGGCAGCCGTGCCGATACTGAAGAGCAGCAAATTGACGACTTGCACCAGACTGTTGACTGAGGCCGGTGACGAGAGGAGCGTGGTGCCGTAGTAAAAGACCAAGGCGACCAGCCAGTTGGGCAGCGCTTGATTCAGGCCGTAGAGGGCGCCGGTGCGCCACGCACGGGAGATGCCCATAGCAAACGCGGCGGCGGTGGCGTCACGAAGCGGTCCGTCGGTAAAATAGTCTTCGATCGTCAAGGCGCGCACGACGCGAATATTGGGAAACACTTGCGAAAATACGGCGCTGACGCGTTCGGCGGCGCGGTTGGCACGCTCTTCCCAGGTGTTGCTGACACGTGTAGCGAGACGAGTAGCCACGAGCACGACAATGGGACCGGCAGCCAGAATGACAAGCGTCAACTTCCAGGCGACAGTCAGCGCCCAGACCACCGACACGGCCACCATGCCGGCGGCCATAAGGAGGATGGGCACGAACACACTGACGAGCTTTCGCATCTCTTCGCCGCCACGGTCGAGGCACTCGACGGCGGACGCTGGCGCCGGGAAGGTGGACTTAGGCTGGAGCAACAGGCGCGCGAAGGCTTCGGTGCGCAAGTGGTTGACCCAGGCGAGACCAACTCGCTCAGCCAGGTAAAAGGCGGCAAAAACGGCGGCGCCGTCGACAATAGAGAGGCCGACAAGGACGAGAGCCCATGGGCGACCAGCACCCTGTGCGTCGACACCGACCGGGACCCAAAAGGCCTGCAGCATGCGGGCAAAGGCGAAAGAAAAGGCTGGGTTGCAGGCAGCGACGATCAGACAGGCGACGCATCCAAAGACGAAATCGAGGCGGCTGGCACGGTTGAGGGATGGCCAGACGGTCAGGAGGACAGCGCGCAGAGAGGGGAGTGCGTCGGTGGCATCTTTCGTAGGCTCTGTGGCGCCATCATCACTGCCGCGTGGCTGCTCCTCCACCGCGGCAACGCGTCGAATGCGACTGATGGGCGAGCTGGGGATAGCCTCATCCATGCGCATGCTCTGGGCCTGGGCCCCACGTTCGCAAAGCACGTCGAGGCTGGACCGCTGGTTGTAGTAGCCGTAATCATCGTCGTCAAGGCGGTGAGACTTGGTCGGAAGGACGACAGATGTGCGTGGCGTCACGGCCGCTGACCCAGGTGCCGAGTGGTATTGTACCGAGCGTCTGGACGTCCGCTTGTGGTAGCTCGGGTAAGGATTCAAGAGAATGGACTGGCGCTGTCGGTTGTAGGCCAACGGCGCCGAAAAGATGGATGCCCGGCGGAAGAGGCCCGTGGTCTCAACAGAAGCAGGTCGTGAGGGCATGATGTTCTCGTCATCGTCGTTGGCTTCTTCCTCTCGGCCGTGGCCGATCTTGGTGACGGGACTGAGACACACATCTGCGGCGCCATTGCTGCTAGCCGACTGCAAGAGAGTCTGCATGGCGCCGCCCTGCTCTGTGCGTAGCCACCCAAACACGCCTTCTTGGACAAGACGACCACGGTCCATGACGTACACATAGTCCTCGCGTGTAATCTGGCTCATGTCGTGCGTAATTACAATGGTGGTCTTTCCGCGGCGCCAGGTGCGCACGGCATCCAAGACCATCTGCGCGCTCTTGGGGTCGAGGCCGCTCGTGGTCTCGTCGAGCACGAGCACGGCAGGGTCGCGGATCTTGGCACGGGCTAGGGCGAGGCGCTGCCGCTGACCACCACTGAGCGCAGAGCCGGATGGACCACCTATGACTGTGTCTAAGCCTTGGGGCAGGTTGGCCACGGTGGACTGGAGGAGGGCCGTCTCACAGGCACTCCTGATATCGTCGCGCGTGATGGTTGAGTCGGTGGCAGTGGGAGTGGCAGCTGCGGCGGTGGCGGCGGCGGCCGATCCTCCGCCCAGAGCGACGTTCCAGGCAAATGTGCCCTGGAACACGGTGCTGGCCTGTTGTATGAGAGCAACATTCTCGCGCAGCCACGCTCGATCGAGACGGTCGGCGGGGACATCGTCAATCAGAATGCGGCCGGCCGTGGGTGCGTAAAATTGTACGAGCAAATCGGCAATGGTGCTCTTTCCCGAACCGCTGCGTCCAACGACAAAAGATACCTGGCCGGCGGCAAAGGCCATGCTGCAGCCGTCGAGAACCATCCTGGACGGGTTGGACGGGTAGGCGAAGCTGACGTTGTCGAGGATAATGTCACGGGGCGGTTGCACGGGGCGGAGGTCACCAGTTGGCGACAAAGAGTTCCCGTCGGCATCTTTACTATCGCCAATCATGGTCTCCAACGCCTTACCGGCCACGGTGCCTTTCAGAACTGTCACCCACTGGGTACCGAGCGACTCGAGTGATTGGAAGGCGATCAGGACGGCATAAAAGGCCGTGAGCACGTTGCCTGGCGTGGTGCTGCCGCGCGTGACTAGTGCCAGGCCGAACCAGAAGCCAATGACAAAGAGGTTGATCATCCACACCTTGATGTAGCCCATCTGTGCACTCGAAGACAGTGCTTGCCGAGCGTAGTGACGAGCGGCCATACGGATGGCGCCGACGTACTGCCACAGCTCGGTATCGTAGCCATTGTAGATCTTCACAAGGTCGATGCCGGACAAGGCGGCCGAGGCGTGCTGGGCGGCGTTATTGAGGGCGCCCCGCTGACGCTCAGCAGCTGGCTTGAGGCCGCGTCCGAGGAGCTGGAGGACCACGACGGAGACGGGGACCGTGGCCAGCAGCACAAGCGTCAAAGCCCACGACTTGGCAAAAGCGACGGCTAGGCAGGCGACGCACACAAAGGCATCGCTCACGATGTAGCCTAGCAGCTGAGACGTAGCGGCCTGCAGGTCGCGGATCTGCGTGTACTGCTCGGTCATGAGGCTGGCCATGCCGCCGGCGCGGGTGTCGAACCAGGCCATCTCCTTGGAGAGCAGGGACTTGAACAGACGGAGGCGGACTGTGCGAGCCCGTGTTTCGCCGTGGATGATCCAAAGTCCCATGAGTAGCGCTGCACAGACAGCCATGCCAATGCCAAGAACAGTGAGGCCGAGACACCACCTGCCAACTTGTATCAGCGTGTCGTGAGCCGAACTTGTGTCGCTGCCGAAGTCGGTGATGACCTGAAAGATCTGGCCGAGGAGAAGGGCGTAGGTCGTTTTCGCGCCCGCGACAGCGGCCGAGGCAGTGGTGGCCAGTAGAGCGACAATGACGTCTTGGCGGGTGCAGGCTACAAACAGATGAGACAGTCCGGCTGATTCGTCTTTGTCCTTTGTTTCCGTTTGTGTCTTCGTCTTTGGGCTTGGCGACATTGATTCCTGCGGCAGGTCTAGGAATGAGATAGAGTGGCTGTCATGGGATGAGTGCGGGCTACACGTCTTGGACGGAGTCGTAGACGACGAATATTGGGTCCGCTGCTGTTGTCGGGGTGGCGCGTCAACGTGTACGATCCGCGGCTTCTCATGGACGTCCCGGATACGGACGGACCGCACGGTGGCCGGCGACGGTGGCTCTAGCATCGGATATGAGATGCTGTCTTTGCGGATGCTGTTTCTGCAGTGTACACGACCGGTGCTGCGACCACCGATGCTCGAAAGCGACAGAATCGAGAACCGACTTGAGTCGTTTGTCATCGTGAAGTTGTTGCCAGGTTGGGGCATCATAAGGAAGTCGGTTGGGAGTATCTCATCGCAGGGAAAGGCACCTGTGCCATATGAAAGGACACTGAAAGAGGAAAAAAGAGATAAATCATCCAGATGGCCGTGACACGACGGACATTCGTCTCAACATTCCCTTGGGAGAAAAGCAATGGACAAAAGCGGCCATGGCCATCGGATATGCTGGCAAGCACTCGCCCACCCAAAGCGTCAATTCGTCAAAGGGATGCATCACTGAATCCGCCGGGTCGCTGAAAGGAGGATGCACTTGGCGTGGGTGGCTGTCGCCTTTGTTAGCTGTTGTCTGTGGGCTGTCTGCTGCGATTGTTGTTTTTGTAGAAAGGGGGAGTTGGTTAGTATTGTGTGGCTTGGCCGATGATTCGTGGTGTGCATTTTGGCCATTTTGGTGCGACCATGCGGGTGGAACAATGGCAAGAGCCAACGGCGCAGGAGCAACCCCGGATGAGGAAAGAACAGACCACGTCTACGGAGCACCTCCGTAGAAAGAGCACGATTTAATCATGCGGTGCCTTGGAAGATATGATTTTTTTTTTTTTTTTTTCATTAAATCAAATACAAAACTGCATGTCCAAAAGAAAAACAAATGCAGCAGCAACGCCGGCCCCGACCGACATCCGTCGCTGTTGGTATCCGCCCGTAAAGTCCGCTTTCTCTTCGGGTTCTCCCTCTCCATCCATCACCGCAGTCTACTTCTTCGCCGCCTTCTCGGCCTGGGCCTTCTCGTAGATCCAGTCGTTCAGGCCCTTGCGGTTTCGTGCAATCTCGACCGCGTAGAACTGCATCCTCGGCACTGTCTTTGTTAGCATTGTTGATCTTTCGTCGCCCTCATGACTGTCGTCGCTCCGCGTGAAGTCCTTGTCTCAAACCATGTTCGTGTCGATCTCATCGATCGCGCCACTCGCTGCTCCAGGGCCACGTACCAAAAATGACCTCGTCCCGGCCATACTCGACGTTCGGCGCAATGCGCATCATCGTGCCAAAGTTGTAGTCGTCCACCTTCTTCTCGTAGGCCATCATAAAGTTGCGCCACCGCTCCTTGCCCGTCTTGCTCTTCATCTCGTCCTCATCAATCGTGGCCGCCGGGTCGAACTCGGGGAAGTCTTTTTGGAGGTGCTCGAGGATGTCGTCGTCCAGTTTTGTGAGGCGCAGCGTCGACCCGCGCACGCGCTCCAGGATCGCCCAGTATGTCTCCATGTGCTGCACGGCCTTGACAGCAAACTGCTTCTCGATCTGTGAGAGTCAATACTTTCGTCCTGTGTCTGGTGTCTGTCTGCTACTTGTCAGGGCGGCCGGCGCTTACATCTTCAAAGTTGTCGGCGTTCTCGGCGTCGAAGCCGGCCGGGACCTGCTGGACCTGCTGCATTGCGCGGGTGGTGTGTGGGATGGCTGTGGGACGCGGTGGGCTATGTTGTATCTTGAGTGAGCTTCTTGTCTCGTAGATGTTCGTTGCTGTTGCTCGTTGTGTCCTGTTCGTCCTATGCTTCGCCGTGCCTTTCCCTCCTATGCTTTCCAAGCTTTTTTGACATTTTTTTCTAGCGATAGTGGGGTTTCTTATCAGGCATGGCTTTGGGGGCGATTTTGGTATTCGCGGGGCTCTCGCAGCCTAAAACTTCAACTTTCGCCGCAGTAATTTCAAGATGCGCCTGCTGCCAGAAACGGCAAGAAGCTACAAGAACGCCTAACAAAGCAAGACCAAGTCCCTGTGGCTGGGTGTGGCTTGAAAGTCGCTAGTCCGGAATCAGTTCCCAAATTCGGTCACGACTGACCTTACTGTGGCAGCTCACCGCCGTCATGCAAGAATAGAAAAGTCTGTGGATCGTGTGCTTTCGATAATGTCAATGTTTATTTGCAAGTTTGCTTTACAGCTTTCAGTTGCAATCTGGCGTAGACTCATTATGTTTGCGTAGCCTCTAGGAGACGCTCTGTACATTCGTATTGCGCTTCCGCTTGTGCAGCCTTCTTGCCGTTTTGGGCATGTCCGCCGTGATAGCTCTTTTGCGTGTAAGCCAGCAGCTGCTTCCTTGTTTCGAGCATCGACAAGCCATTTCCTTTTGTTTATTCGCAAAATCAACGGGAACCGCAAGTACGTTTACGTGTCAGACTATGACACTGGTTTGCCTGTGTCGATAAGTTGTTTGCTTGGCTGACAAAGAAATCTGACTGGCGTCTAAATGAATTTGTTTGATGGATGATTGGTAAAGCCTGTCAGCGCTGCTGTTCATGCCGTTGACCCTTCCTAGAAACAACGATTGCCTAGACCACCAAAATCTAGACCTTCTTTGTGCCGATCTCCGCCGAACTGATTGAACACAGTGCGCATCCACAAGTGTATCGTGACATGGAGTCGGACACACTTCCTCTGGGATTGCCCGATTAGGAAATTCCGTTAATGGGTCACGATGCGCGGGAAAGGCCGCAGGCACAGTTGGAAACGCCGTTGTATGCCCGGATAGGAGCCATCAAATATAGCTAAATGTGCAATGAGATAGAGCCGGACGGAGGATGTGGTCACATTGCGGTTAGGCTTCAATGCGGTCTCCGCAGCCATCTGTCTTTTGCCCAGTCCCGTGGTCAGGCGCCAAAGCCTAGTTCCACTGTGATATGAAGCGGAGAAAACAGCGACGTGCGGAGGAAGGTGCCTCGTTCGCACTCTCCCCGCACGATGGCAGAGCCGACCCCAACGCCGACTCGACGGAGGGAAGGAGGGGATGAAGAAGGGGGAAGGAACCACCCAGGTTCGTGGTGTCCAGCGTCAGAGACGGCCGCCCATATAAAACCGAGTTGATGGACAGCCCACGGCGACGGACTATGTTCCTTTCATCTGTTGTTTGACAATTGAAAACCAACGGCGAACATTGATGTGAACATTCCCAGACACAAAGGCCAAGTCACATTCGTCCCTTGTCGATACCACCACACAACTCACAAACCAAACATATCACCACCACTCGTCGCACATCACACGTCATGGCTTCCGTCTCATGGCTCGACGTGCTCGAGCAGGAGCGTAAGTGAGCTCAGCATCCTCCTTACTTTTTTCTTCCACGGGAAACGAACATCACTAACACCGCCAGTCAACATCGACGTTGATTGGATGGACCCCGACTTCCTCGTCGAGATGCGGCCCACCATCAAGTTCCACGATCTCACCAGCAACCAGAACTTTGTCGACATCCAGATGGGCCATCCGTCCAATGTCGAGCTGCTGCGCGACACCGCCCGCGAAGTCCGCGACGAGTATGCTGCGGCCACTGAGGCCCCTGCCCACCCCCTTTGGCTCGCCATCTACACGCGCATGGCCGTCCGCATGTGTAAGAAGGTCGTCGACCACATCAGTGGCCGTGTCCTCCTCCAGACGTCGCCATCCCAGGCCTACGATACCGCCGCCACCGTCGCGCACGCCCATCTCTACGACGCCGAGTTTTCTCAGGTCAACATCTCCCGCGACCGCTTCTGCATCAAGATCCCCTGCACGGGCCCTGCCTTGAACGCTGCTAAAATGCTGCAAACCGAGGGCATCCAGACGCTCGGCACCGCACTCTTTGGTGTTCCCCAGGCCATGGCCGCGAGCCAGGCCCGCTGCCTGTCCATCAGCCCCTACTTTAACGATGTCCGCGCCCACGAAGACCGCTCCTGCTGGCCGTCTGTCGCAGACCCGGCCGTCGAGCATCCCAACGCCGCCCGCCTCGTGCAGATTTTGGACTTGTACCGCCGCCTGTACGCGGCCACTGGCGAGCGCCAACCATTGGTCAAGAACGCCAGCTTTGTGTCCCCAGAAGAGGCTATGGCTGCCGGCGAGATGGGCTGCCATTCCGCCACGCTGTTCCACACCGCGATCCGTGACCTCGCCGCCCACCCTTACACAGGCGCTGAGCGGCCCGGGGGCGCTGTCGCTGCCGCGGCCTGTGTGCCCAAGCCGGCTGCCGACACGCCGTTTTACAAGGACCGGAAGGCGCCCTCGGCCCGTCTGCAGCCCCTGCTGAGCATCGATCCCCTGAACACGGCCGACCCAACCAAAGTCGCCATTGACTACGACACTGTCACCAAGGTCGACTACCTGGCCGACAACGGCAAGCTGCTGGATGCCGCCATTGAGGCTGACCCGGTGGCCAAGGACCGGCTGGCGGCCGCCTTGACTCTGTTCATCGCTTGTGAGAAGCGAAGCGAGGACAAGGTTGACAAGGCGTTGGCGTCGTTGTAAGGAGTCCATGATGTGTATTTGACAGAGTCTTGGTTGCTCAGTGACGAGCCTCTGATCTCTTGATGAAAATGAGATGATAAGGAAGTGGTCGTCACCTAACTAGATAGCGAGCTAGAGTTGGTGAAAGTTTGAACATAAATTGATAGACACGCTGTAAAATAATAGACCAATGACATTTTGATATATTTCTGATGACTTGATAAGCTTACAGTAAGGAAGTTTGGTTTGCAAAGGTGAGAGCGGAGGATGTTGTCGTGTCTGTCTCTCATGTCCCTCATCTTCACACTCACTTTGTCACCAATTTGTTTGTTAATTTGACGTTGATTGCCTTTGCATGAGGTTGTCAATACGGAAGTGAAGATGGCTTGATATTTGTTTAAAATATTGAAGGTAACCCAATTCTCAAGGAGTGGTCTTTGCAAAGTCGACCGAAATATCACAACCGCTTCGAAGCTGCTCTGAAAGCCAAACTATTTCAAAATAAACAACGAGATAAATTCGATAAATCAATAAACTTGCAAACAAAATTACTCCATATGACTTCGTCGATCTGTGAGACACATCAGGCGAAGTCACCAGCCCTGTCGATCCTGCAAACAGACAGCTCTTCCACGACCTTCTGCCTGGTTCTGTAGTCCTCGGGACCTATCTCCCAAAAGTATAAATACCTGCCATCCCCCGCCTCTCCTCGACCCCCAACTCTCTCCTCTCTCTCTTTCTTCTTCTCTCTCCTCTTTCATGCTCACTCAACCAACACTACATCAACAGCATTCAGCATCATGGTCGGCGGTTCTTGTTACGAAATCATCGGTGCTGTTATCATGTCTTTTGTGTGTGTTAATTGACCTGAGCTGGTCATGAATCCAACAACTCCAGAAATAACTATGGAGAAGCGGACTGGTCTGGAGCATCGGCAATAATGCAACGGGCATTGGTACACTGACACGGTGCTACATAAGGTACGGTGGAAGATCCTCAACACTTTACACTTTGGCAATGACACTAACGGTTGACCTAGAGTTTCGAACAACATCAACGTGATCGGACGTGAGCACTGTGACCATGTTCTTCTCTACAAGGTCATGGGCAGCCTGACCTGAAGTAACTATGGAGAACATCTTTCTATAAAACGTGTCCATGCTTCGAGAGATCTTCGAGACGTCTTTAATGCTGTATGGAACTCCAGCGACAATAAATGGCGGGACGGCATTGGTCTCGTAATGCTTTGCGCAGCTATTTTCAGCAACATGCTGAACAAACGGACTCTCGTTATAAACACGGCGAAGGTACAAGTCTTCCCAATATGTTTGCAACCTTGATGGTGGTCTGTGACATTGTCATGAAACAACGTCAGAAACGCCGTGCAGAGAAATTGACCTGTGCCACCAGCTTAACTGTGGCTACCTCAACGTTGAGTTCACGTATCCGGGTACAAGTGATTGCAAAGGTTGGTTTTGAATACATCAAGTAGCAGTGATGCACAATTGCATTGTGACATGACGGTGTCGTCGCACAGTTCTCCAAGTTGCGACCTACAACATACAAATGTGGTCCTTGGTCTATTCTAACTACACGCAACGAGGAATGACGAGAAAGGTCATCGATACGGACACAAATTCGATAGCAGGCAGAGTGACGATCGCAACAATACATCCACGCTATACGTCGGCTGGATGCGCGCAGAGATGGGATATTAAGAGTCCACACACCTCTGTGGTCAATTTGGCCTAGCTATGCCCTGGTCGCACCTGAATCGCCCGGGAAAAATATCGCGAAAAGAGAAGAAAAATATCGCGATGAGAGAACTAACCTTTGACATTGCGTTCAATGTCCTTGTCAATCGGAAGTTTTGAAACCCCTTGCATGTCTTCTGAAGAATGTGACTGCAGTTGTTGCAGGCCTGGTTCAATGATTGGCTGGGGAGGGCCGTGTTGTTCCAAAGCTTTTACACATTTGCAGATATGGCACAAGACTAGGCATAACACCTGATATAAACGCTGTGCCTTCGAATACTACTGTGTCCCATCGACAAGACTGAATACCGATACGTACAATGGGTCCTCGAGTTGTGTTCTCGACCAATCGGCTCATCAGTGAGTAATATGGTTTACTGTTTCTCATACCGATCTAAGAGATATCCAGCTAACACAGCCAAGATATGCTTCCACAGCAAGACAAACGCGCCACTGGAGGCATTACAAAAAAACCAATTCACGCCGTCATATTATTCAACGGCAGGAGCCCATTTTATTGAACCCTCTTGAATGTATGTTCGGGCGGGTTCCTTTTACTCTTCATGAGACGAGTGCCGACTTGATCAAAAGCCTGTCTTACGGGAACATGGTCGTGCTGTCACACCTTGCCGGGATTTCATTGGCCTGATAGATCCTCTCCGCGCGGAGCGAGGACAACAGCCACTACCTTCTTCAATGACGATACGGCTTACATGTGCACTCATCCCAGTCTGCCCCTCGCGGCATGTGCCGAGAGACAGGATCGCGATGGGCGTCTAACCAGTTGCGGAGTAGTTCTCGACCATCTTAACCGACTTGGTGTTTCCGGATCTCCACCGGATTTTTACGATGCTGGCGGCCATGTCTCAAACTGACACATCGGCCATGTTTCCACGACACGTGGAACAAACGCAGAAACCCCAGGATGCCTTATCAGTGATTGATGAAGTATCAAACGTTGTTGGTTTTGACACCAACTCATCACTGTCTGGAGAGATTCTCACACCAAGAGTGGCAGAGCGTATTGCTAACGCACTCGAACTGAAATAAGCGGTACATGCCCAATGTGACTCACATCGTTGCTGAGTGGTGACCTTATACCACTGCTCGATAGCCAGTATCTTATGGTAGAGAGAGGAGGTGATTTGAAGTGTCCGTCCCGTTCTCTTTATGAAAGCAATATAAAACGTCGGTGACCACTCGTATTTATCCACTCGAAGAACACGTCCAGCTCCTGGAGGGGCAACGAAGTATCGAACAGGATTACACCATCTGGGGTACCGAGCCACGAGATCAACATAAAGGATGGTTCCTAGCAGATTTATGCACAAACGTGCGTAAAGAATTCGATGACCGCCAGTTACAGTATGAAGCAGAGGAACTTATGCACATCGCCAAGACGAGCAGTGGCAAATCACGAGAACGTCACTACAAGTTCTAGCGGAGCAGACAAAACGCTTTATTGACCATTGACAAGTTCCACCAATTGCTAGAAATAGTAGCCACAAGACCAGCGAGGAAAATGACCGCAGTAATAGCACGACCCAGAAGTTGGCCATATTATCCGACTTGCGACTTGAGTTGACCATGGACTACCATGTATGCCGCATACGAGCATGGGATTCTTCGCTGATGTCTCCCTTGCTACAGCTATATCGTCCCGTGACAGTCACTATTCTCGAGGAGAGCCCTGAGGAAATTATTCACCTAAGTTACATGCCACTGCACAGGACGTTAAAGTCCGACATTCCATGCATGCGACTGCGATTGATGCTTCTTTCTCGTCCATTCCCGGTTTCTTTTCGGAGATCCGACGGACTCTATGAGATAGGATCCCGGGCCGCTCGCCGCCCCCCCGATGGGCAGACGAAGGAGGTCGCAGAGAAGACGGTGACGGAACGAAATCAACTAGGATCCCCGGGATCATCTCCTTGAATACAAAGGACAATGACATGCAGCGGCTTTTGAGTCGGGCAAGCCAGCAGCGCAGCCGTACTCTTGTGAAGGCTGTTCAGGCGCGTGGTTGTAATACAAAGATGCAATTGGCGGGTATATGTGGCCAACCGGCACGCCCTGGTGCTGGAAACAAACATTTTGAATTTCGCAACATGCAGGACAGTTGTGGCATCAGAGGTTTGCGCTACATTCGAGTTGGAGAAGGATCGGCCCATTTGGACCGTTGACGGACTTCTGCCCGGCAAGGCCGCAGCATATCTTGTCACTAGCACACCGTCATCTGCGGACAGATTCCGGCCTTCCTGCGAGTAAAGCATCTCACTTACTGCGTACTGCAGAGCAATTGGGACGCATTCGGGCGCGCTTCCAAGACATCAGCCGGCATCTCGCATTGTGGTTGAGCAGACAAGCGGATGAAAGAGCAGAAAACAGACTCGATGGGACTACAAGCTCTGTGTTTTACGCGCTCTGAGTTCTACGAGCTCTATGTCCAATGGGGCAAACACTGGCCTCATCCGGAGAGTGGACCGCGAGGTGTTTGCCATCTTTGTGAGCTGTAGCACACGACCACATCAGGCACCAGTATCCTTCCTATCGTCAGAATCAGAAGAGTCCCGGCTTCTTAGTGTGAGATTTCGCTGTTCGCTGAGGTTTTAGACTTGGAGAATGGGCAGCTCGAAAGGGGACATGCATTTTTCGTCCCAGGTACTCTAGCATCACAAGCCGCAAATGTCTTTACTCCGCCTACAGGCCAAGAAGACGGCATGGGCAGACGGACAATACTTGCGAACCTCTTCTGAACGCGGCCGTTTCCGTCAAACAACTGGTAACGCATCAGCGTACTCGTCGACCCCCAGCCTTTTGAGGCTCACATTCATACACATGCATGCACTGACCGTTTTATGTCGTGCTCTACGTCGGCCGCGGCCCGGATAGCACGGTCGCCAATAAGCCCCAGAACACAAGTATGAAAGGGGCGGCACCGAGCACCACTGGTCGTCAATCTGTGAAAGGGGGTAAGGAGATTACCATTACCCGACTCACACAGGAAGACAAGGAAGAGCTGGCTGACTCCGATGTGGCTGCCTTCGTAACGCTGCCCAAGAGCCTCGACAAAGGCCGCAGTCAAGCGTTTGCGCTGCTCCATGATCTCCTCCTCCGCGACAAGCCCAAAGGACTCGCTACGCTCGTCCCTTCGCCGCAAAATTATCTCGCTGCTGTATTCAATACGGAACAATATATGAAGAAATTTTGCGAAAAGACCAACGGCAAGGCGTTTCCGTATAACAACAAAAATTATGGCATCATCGCGGTGCGGTTTGGTGAGCGGGGTTCAACAAGGGTGTAGCACCTCCATGCTGGACCATTCGACACCGACCAAAATATAGCGGACGCGCTCACGCAGATGTCCTCTGCGGCTGGCGTTTCCCTGCCCGCCAGGGGATGCTGGCTAAAGAGGGACGGTGAGCATATGGGCATGTTCTCGACAACAGGAAGCCGGCAGCGTCACCAGTAACGACACGAATCAGGTATCAATTATGCAGTAGTGGTGCAATCACGCTATCCTTTGGAGGTTGAAGGATTCTTTAACCATTCCCTGGCCATGCGATGGTTTCACACCAGCATTTGGAACCTTCGTGTACGTGAACCACGCACGCACACCCGACTGGTGATACGAAAGCAACGAACGTAAAACTAGTCGCCATAGACGAGACTTGTGTCCTCCCGAAGTATCGGCCGGTTGGACAACAGGCCCACCGCCATCAACTGCATCAGAAAAGGCAAAGAGAAAAGTCACCGAGATACGACAAAGCAATGTGCCGCTGTGGGTAGGCAGTTTTTTGCTTACGCAAATCTAAAATCTACATCGGCGCAAACCTCTGGCAAAGGTGGCGGAGAAATCTTTGGTGCTCGACGAATTCAGTATTAATGAATGTGTGGGCTAGTTCAACGCACAATGATCGCATGATCGACACCTGTGAGCTTCCTCGTGGCTCTCCCTCTTCCCGGGGAGGTGGCAGTGAATCTGGCTCAACTGTGCGCCACGATTCTCGCCCACACTTTTTCTACTATGCTGGCGCTGTTATGACCACGCTTGGCATCGACGCCGTTGTTGCGAGCTCGTGTCACAGAACCGAATAGCCAAGGAATGGACAAGACGACAATACCTTGTGGTCCATTGTGAGTATCAGCAAATTTCTCCCAAACTCGGTAGACGACGAGAATTACATGTCGAAAAAGGAATTTCGAAATGCACTGCGAGCTCTCAACGTTCTGCGGTATGTCGAGCCGACTTTGGCCAAGAGAAGTGCCGCCATATACGAGTTTGCTTCATAGGTGACTTGTTAAAAGACCGACTGATCAACATATCAAGACCATGAGCTCATCGCCGCACGGGGAAGACAATGGGAGGAACCGTTCTATCGACAGGACGCTTCCGAGACAAAAAGCTACGCAGAGGACGACATGGTATTCGACGACACAGCTGAGAAACGACCCGGACAACTCCACGTGGGACCCAACACTGTCATTTTACGAATGACAGGACCCGAATGCGCCAAATGAGGATGGCCGCTGCACAGGAACTATTCATCTGCTGTGTCCGGGTGGACTTCAACGTGGCCGCTGATGCTGGTAAACGATTCCTTTGGATCGTACCCGGGTTTATAACAACAACCGGCGCTTCAGGCACATCACACAAGACAAAAACCCACCAAAGAAAAGCGAGGACCAGAAGCATTTGCTCAGCTTCGTGACAAGAACATGGAGATAATATTATGTGCCAACTTCATTGATCTCATCGTTTTGATACCAAACGACACTCTCACCAGTAGGTGTTATGGCACTCCCCGCCGCATCAGGCAGCGTCAATAAATTGATACAGGCCCACGAATTCACCACGAGTTGACACAAATTCCAAGCTTGTGAGACCCATATTTTATCGACAAAAGGACACAGTGCCAAAGCAATCAAGGACGAACACTCGGCTTTCCTTGGTTCCACAACTGACGATACCTTTTATCAGACTGGCTGAATGCCACAGGAAGGATGCTCTACGTGCTGTACGGACAGCCAGCCCTGGTCAGGTATTAACAGTCGTGAAAAGCAATCCGTCCGTGAATTATTAATGAGCACCAGCGGGAGAACAGGGTCGCTTGCCTTGCCTCAACCCGAGATGCACGTCCAGCACCAATGCAATAGACACGGGGTCAGCGACTTTGATTCGCCTGATACATGAACGGCCGCGCGGTTCCATTCTGACCAGAGGACAGTCCTCATCCCGACGTCCAACAATTGACCTTATCAGGACGCAGGGATCGTCGACCAGTAGTATTTTAGGCCAACTTAATGCGCATCTCCGTCTTATGTGACCTGGTCACAGCACCATCACATGTGTACGCGGAGCTCAGGGAAAGCTTTGCACAGTCCACTCCCAATCAGAAGCAGTGCCAGTCCGTGTTAAGGAGCTGTACTCGTTTAGATGAGGACCAACATCAGTGGCCACTGCTATGATAGAAGAATGTCAGGATGGTCGTATGTGGACGCGACAAGGAAGCGGCCAGAATCCATTGCAATTGTCTAGATCGAAAACTGGCAGGATCATTCTCCAAGCAGGCGAAATTCAATAAATCGAGTCTCTCTCGGTATTACATTTGTTGGCATCTACTGTCAGTTCGCATGGCGCCTTGATAACAGCACCCAACCAAAGATGACCATGGAAGCTGTCCTAATAAAATCACAAGGAATTGGATAGTCTCATGCACTTGGCAACGTCGCCACCAATTTTAAAAAGAAATGGGGATGTCGATCTGCGGAATAGTATCTCAAATCACTTCTTTTTGTCACCAAAAAGAAAATGCCGATGCAGCTGATGTATTATCAGAAATGCTACATACGAGGCATCAAAGCACCGGAACGCGGCCAGTTTGTATGGATGCAAATGATGCGCATATTGCACAAACGGTGCCCACTCTATACGGAGCGACAACAACTGACATATGTCACTCACGAATTTAGAGATCAAGAAGAATTTCATGACAAACGTCGTGTCTCCACACAGCCTTCGGAATATGCCCTCCATGATCAACTGAGCCAGTCATCCTAGTTGTCACCAGGAGATTAAAACCAGAGTGCCATCTTTCACATATTCTCCCCATGTCTATGGGAGAAAATTGCGGTCCTCAATGTGTTATAATATTTGTCGGACACATTCCAGTTGTCGTCCTTTATATACCGTGTTGTCAACGGAATGAGACGAGTTACGAAACACGACCACATCGACATTAACATCCTGCACTAGCATTACGCTTGTGACCGATGGGAAGTAACCATGGATACAGCAACTAGGTTTGAAACGAGAAATGAGGTTGCTATTCTCCTCCAAAAATGTTTACCGGATTCTGGATCGGTGGCTTTCATGAGCCATCGGAGCACGAGGCATCGGCTCGGAACCCTGTGAGCGAGGAGCCAAGTAACTTAGTACGTGAGTTACGGCTCTCCGCCAGGAAAGCCTCGACGTACCACTGTGGGGAAAGAACACAAAACCACGCCGCCGTTGACAGTTTTGTCTCACAGCACCGGCTCTCTACTGAAATGGTCACTTTCCCAAGGCCCTGATCGAGAATGTTGTGGGTGTTGAGCAACAGCTGCAGTAACATGTGAGGGAGTGGAAGTGGTCTCATCGATGACGGTCCAACGAGGTTTTGTGACCTCAACACAAATGCCTACTGCCATTTTTGCCAGCTGTATGCGTTCAAATCAGTTGTCAAGTGGGTGATGCCAGCGCAATGTCAGTGCATATGCACCCACGGTTACAGTACGTTTCACAACTAGAAACAGGGCGAGTCGTCCGCCCTATGCACACACTTCGCATCGTTTTCCTGGGTTGCCCTGGGGACCTCAGATTCTTTCGCCTGTCCAGAAAATACAGATGTGTTTACAAGTGGACATGCAAGCTTTCAAGCAAGTGAACCTGTACCGCCGAACAGATTGTATGTCCGGAACGTGGTCAACATTTGGACGTATACCCCACGGCGGCCTCGTACAACGCTTGCCGCTTCCACTTATCCCCTTTCAAGGATCTTCAGTCAAACAGCGATCGGCTGGATAAGGTCCTGGACCGAATCCAACAAGCCCCCACCACCCCTCGAAGCCGCACGGCGGTCCGCTCGGCCACAGGCAAATTCTCGGCCGACAAGGGCAAGTCGCCCGCTGGCGCCGCGCCACGGCTTGAGTCATCCAACGCCACCGGCACGACGGACGGTGGCTGGCAGCACTCACCCCATATTCCGCGCCTTCCAGGATACTCTGGGTCTGTTTATGCTTGCCGTTGCTGAGGAGAGTCGAGTTCGCAATAATGGAAACATCGCCTTATGTCCGAAATCTTGGAACGATCTGCTTGATGAACTTGCAAAATATCAGTTGCAAACATCAAAAGATGGGCCGGCGACTGCAATTATCCAGCTCGTATATCGAGCTATACTCATCATTATCTTCTTTTTTATCTAGACCTCTTGTTCCACACGTCTTCTTATCAAAACCTACCAGCCTACTATCTCTCATCACTTCTGTGGCCGACGTGAACACAACTTAGCCCTTTTTTGTTTACGCTTACTGACGCTCCTCGGGGGCTGTGGGGCAAAGACACAGTCCAATAACTGTGCTGCGAGGCGTATGTTCAAAGCAGCCACGTTATCCTACTCTAGAGCCAGATGCGATGTACGGCTCCCCTACAAGGTGTTGCTGTTTCGTCGTTTCCCTTTACAACAACGAGCTCCCACTTATAACCGTCGCGGGAACAGATGGAGGAGAGACTGGACGGAAGAAAGTCACCTGAGACGAAGAATCCATTGTCAGAGTGTGCTGTTTTCAAAGGACGGAAAGCATGGAAATCTGCTCGTATAACTGACGAAGGCTCTGATTGATATGCATTCTTGCCTCAGAGTCGTTATGAGGTAAGGGGACAACGCTGGTCTGTTCTCTCCACTTTCGACACTGAAGAACTGCAAAGGGCGCAGGAACTGAGTGGTCCAATTCTCGAGCCCAAACGCAACAGCTTAGCGTACTAAGCAACAAGCCGATAACTGGATTCTAGGGATAACGTCCCTTGACATCTGTTTTAAAAATTATCTGTTCTTGGATAGATGGAGGCCGTCTTTTCTGCCGAGATCGAAATGATCAATGCGCAGGTGTCATACGGGATCTTATACGGGTTCTATGTGAAGCTACGACGTTCTTCGCATCAACTTGTATCATGTCGATGATGGAACATGGCACATATGCAGATGGTGCAGGCATCAACGTATCAAGGGACGGAAAAGTGCGTCAGATCGAAATACTACGTCTGTACTTGATCTTAATCCCGTCCAAGATCATCATCCTACACCAAGAGCGCCGTGTGACCGACGGACGAGTGCCTTTCGTACGACTTGCCTGTGGCCTGAGAGAACTCTGCTACGGTGCGATCCCTTCCAATGGCAATTCCCCAAAAGAACGGGATTACAATACGCTCTTGACGATGAATGGTCTGGCTAAGACGGACTGATACAGCGGTCCTCGAAATCTCAACTGTGTCTGACGCGACGGGACCATGGTCGTCCTCGTTTCAGAGATGTGTTGTCTGTTGATATCGGTCTCGAAGCTTCACCTGCGCCTATATCGCCTAAAGACAACATAGGGCCCCGGTGGTGTATACATGGCACCACACAAGGCTTGAAAAGCCAGAGACAATTTAGTTGCTTGATGAAACTGTACCACCAGAATCTCCTGCCACGCACTGCTTCTAGACTGCTTTGACATGGACTAGAAGTGATATTCCGCTAAAATGTGCCTGTGTCGTGACCATGTCTGTAGGAAAATACGTCCACGGAAATCGGTACCGGAACGAAATGGACGATCCCAGTTGCAGATGACTCTCGTGCAAAACGAAGACGAGGAATGTGTTTACGGCTTTATTTGAGGCCGGGTATGTCGACGGTATCATGGACCGCCATGATAACGTACGCGACGAGCTACTTTGGTTCATGCTAACTGCGACCGTTGGATCGCCCACTTCGGCGCACTTCTCTGCGAGTACAGTTGAGACCAGGACCTGTGCAAAACGGTCTTCGTCAAGAAGACAGTGGAACAGTCAGACCTATCCACCGAGAAGTGTCACCCCTTTATTCACAAAGCTGACACGTCGGCCTGGCCCAGATGCGGAGGAAGCGGCAGATGAAATGGGCGAAAATCAACATACGGAGTGAATTATGCGCGCCGAGAAAGCATTTTGACAACGTTACGATGGACTTGGTCCAAGAACGTCGTCTTGTACTACGATCTGGACGCGGCCAGCGACCATATGTTGAAGACCCTCGTCTACCTATGTCGTGCCGGCTCCTTAATCGACTTGGCCCCGTACGTCAGCGACGCGTATCAAAAACGCTGCCTGAGTGTATGGTCCAAGCTGCCCGCCCCTGGCGACTTCCCTGTCATCGCGGCCGATGCAATATTCTATTCTACGGCACAGCGAAAAATGACATGATTGGCCACACGCCCGCCAGGAGGAGCGTTTCTCGTCACAGAGTATTCCAATCGACAGCCATACCAGAACAACGGATATCTTCTGTGCACAACGACCACAAGGTCACTTTCTTAGTGGCTATACCAACGACCGGTATGTCGACGGAATTTTCACCATTTGTACGCCAACAACATGATGTACAGACTTCAACCACCGACGCAAGCGGAGTACGGGGTGAGAAACAAGAATTCCACCGCACCCAAATCTACCTTTAATCACTTGCGTGGTCTCAAAATGCCGGCAATGCCATGGGAGCCCTGCAATTCCACGAAACGGTGGAAGAGTGGAAAGTGACGATGATGATATCCGTGGAGGACGATGGCAACATGATATACAGTCGAATTGACAGCAAGGCTCTGCTGACCATTAGGCCAAGGCATCTTCACCAAAGGAAAACACCTGACCGTTGTTGATCTTGGCAAACGAAAGACGCCTGGACATCTTTGTCTTGCACTATCCGTTTATGTGTCGAGACACTCCACTCGTTAACAGGTTTATAACGCTCGCGAGATGGACCGCCAAAAGTAGAACCATCACCACCACCAACAACACCACCATCACCACCATCAACGCTACCAATACCACCATCATCACCCCCAGCAGTACCACTAGTACTGTCTTTTCACCGATGTGCACCCAGGTTTACGTCGCAACGGATTTCGTATGCACGCCGATAATAGCTGCAGCAGGTGCTACCGTTTGATACTCGACATGGCCTTGGACTGGATCAAATGACCAAGCCCCGACATCATAGCCGTGAAAACAAAATGTTAAGACCTCTGGCTAACCCGCTCTGGCTCTCGGCTGAGGATTTCTTCCCTGATATGGCGGGTTAAGTTTTCCGCAACACGAAGCCGCATCAAAACCTTTAAGCCCTCTCACATAAATCTTTTGGTCATGGACATACACAGTCGTCATTCCAGTTTTATATCAACCCTCCGAAACCCTTGCAGGACCAGCAGTCGCGAATCAGTACGGGGCTGCACCTGAATAGGTGCATAAACCACATGCTAGGGCATGCGACAACTGCACGGCGCTATGCCAGGATAGATCAAACGGAGTTCGAAATGGGACAGTCGCAATTGTGTTTGTGTCGCCGCCTAAGTTTTTGGGAAAACAGCTGCTGGTGCGCGGACGCACCCACCTGCTAACGGTCGAAGGCGACATCTGCAAACTGTGCGACACGAAATGCGCTGGACCCAAGCTGACGCTTGGGGACGACTTTCTTTTCTGAAGCACACGACACCTCGACGCCCATTGTCAGTTATAGCGATGAGCCTGCCAAAAAATGCTGCGAAAACCACCACTGTTATTCCTTCAGATGTACCTGTGCTCTTACGACTACAGACAATTCGAGCGCACTTCACAATGACCTTCAGCAGATCCGTTCACAGGGGTATTCATGGCATCGAGACGACGTTGACAAGTTTAGACGTCTTTTGCCGGACCATCGAATGTGAATTGCCTTGTTGGCTGCTACGGCTGACGTGGGGAGAGCTCTCGCGCGTCTAGTAAGTTTCCTCGGCTTCCCTTCTCCGATCGGCATGCGATCAGATTCTGACTGTCTGTAGAAGAACGGCGGCGCTCCCTGTGACAACTCGCGGCGGTTTGTCCAAGAGTTTGTTGATGGTTCTTTCGGAGTCTACGACTCCACTAAGGCCGTTCAGCGAGTGATCGCCGTTCACGATCACATTGAGACTGGCCCTGTGTCTGCCCTACAGTTCCCTGCTCCGCCTATTCCCAGTGGTAAGGGTACCCGGGCTGTTCGCCCCGGTCAGGCTGCGCCTTCCCGTCGGAAGTCGTAGACCTATCGCAGGCTGGTCACCGCTGGGTAGGCAATTGGCAAGAGAGTTTTTAGGCGTTTTTGGAGTTTGAGTTTTCAAGGAGGACAACAGTACAGCCTGGCAGTGACGACGGGTCAGGCCGGATTGCCGATTGAAGCAAGCTTTAAGGCTGTGCTATTCAACCAAGACCCCACCACGTCAGGCAACGAAGCACAAATGGATTATGGTCCATGGGCTTGTCTTTTACGAGAATTGTATGCGCAAAGTGACAACTTACATGCGCTGCTTAATACAAAACACTGTCTGGAGACTGTCATAATGGCAAATACGCACCAGGGAGAGAGTACTGGGAAAGCACAGTGCCATCTTCCCATTCCCATCCGCACAGTCTATTACGGCCTCCCTCGGTATCATGTTCTTCACGACTAGCACGCCACTACTGTGTTTCTGATGCTGTCGGGCATGATAACGTTATGCTAGCACGCCTCTATGCCTATGACGGAGACTTGAGCTACCATTATACCATGTGGTCTGATATACTCTCGAAAACATGATATTCGCTGCTTGTACACATGGCGTGGACAAGCCCTGCAGACCGTCCGGCCCCTGCCTCGAGGGAGAGGATTATCCCGTTAAACGGGGGTCGATCGTGATACTTCCTTAGTTCAGTATATCAAAGCCCTGGTTAACGGTATCCCAACTGTCTCGACCATGTTAGGCAACGGGAGCTCGGTGTACGTTGTGAGTCCTCAATTTACCCAGACGGCAGGACTGGTGATTCGCCCTATACCTCGGATTTACTCTTTGTCCCTGGCCAACGACCAACCTTGTGAGGTCACTGAATTTTACGTCGTCAACATCGTAGTGGGACAGATCAAGTGTGTCATGAGAGCCTATATCTTGGGCCTTGGCGCTACCTTTGACATCCTATTACCCCAAGAATGGTATGCACGGATGAATGCCATCCAGGATTGGGGAAGACGCATATTGACCGCTTGGAAGTTTCATGTCGGGAAATAAATTGGTGGTGTTCATATGCACAGCCAATAATGGCTTGTATCTATCTACCGTCAGCTAGTCGCGGAGGAGACCCTACTTCAAAACACAACTTGGACTCAGCGCATAGAATGCTGTCTCCTCAGCCAACCTGGTCTCACCACCTTTCTGGTACGATGAAGCATAACCTGCACCGAAATGGAGAGCAAGCGGAAACACGAGCCATGCTGTGGTCGATTGCATAGTATGTCATAATAGGCGATCGATCCGCGGGCCATGGTTCCCATTCGAAGAGACATATACACTAAACATTGTGGCCTTACGATAAGTATCCTCCTGGATTATGCATCTCCCGTGAGTACTGTAGCGCTGACTGCATAGGATTTAATGCCCAGCAAAATGTCACCAACCATTTTATCAAGCCAGGAGAGCGTTGAGAGGGACGATGTGCGCCGTCTTGAACCTGTTTCCGTTAATGGGACAATAAAAATTTCCGGATACGTTATCCTTTGGACACAGTTTTCACGAGAGATCTTTTCGAGTCGCGCAATGTCACTTGTGTTCCATTTCAGGCCTGACGACGGATAGCACGCTACAAAGACCACCCTGGCCATTTACAGCTTCACGGTTCCTCTGGTGAGGATGATCAGCCCGCCAACTTCGACAGTGCGTCCAACATCGCTATCTGAAACGCACTTGGTGGACGTCGCAGTTCCCGTCCAGACGGCACCGCTCCATGACATCTCACCAGCGTGAAAGATCCAAATAAAGTATCACTTCTACGTCTACTGTCCCTACTTCGTGGTGCTCGCAGAGGACCATTGACGGTTGGCCCGTGAACTTGGAACGACATATGCTGCATTTGCGTTTCCAGTATATGAATCAGCCTTGTTTTCAACAAGAGTCCGCCGCCTACGTCCATCGCATTTTGTCATGACGAAGTGGTTGAACTTGGGCCATTGGACCAGCGGCCGCCGCCTACGTCCATCGCATTTTGTCATGACGAAGTGGTTGAACTTGGGCCATTGGACCAGCGGCCGTGGTACGCCCAAAATTATTCGAATAGCTAACAACCGCCCGGTCAGCATGACATTCTAATGGCCCGCAATTCAAATCGCATACAACTACGAAAATATCCCGGTGGGTTGCACTGAAAAGGAGATAACAACGGTGTGCCACATTTTCCCATATCCTATTCGGTCCTTAGCCGCGATGTCCTCCACCTTTTGTTCTGAGCAGAACTGAAGAAGGAAGAGCCATTACAAGAAATCGATTTTTACCAGTGTTAAGGACCGTCTCAATTATGCAGCCACTGTAACACGTGGAACGAGTCCTTGTGTTTTCCGCCGTTTGTGTTGACATGCTATTCGAGTCGGACTTCAAATTCTTCTTTGAATACATCGGACAACGACGATAACCCGTCATCCACCCCGGTTCCTTCTATTGTCAAAGCCTCTGTGCAGCATTAGAAGACCCGGCGACGAACACTGCCGTAACGCTGCATCGTATAACGAACGAACGAAGAACGGTGCTTTTCAAACGTCGGGAATACGACAAATCGGATAAAACGATCTAGCGTGCTTAGAGTGCGGCACGTGACCAATCCCAACGCTGTGTTTACTTTGCCCCTATTCACACCACTACCGGAAGGGCAGGCCGATAACGACCATGTCCACTACAGCAAATTTGACGAGTTTCAGACGCTCTAAAAATACTCGTTTTAAATGAGAATTTCTAGTTCCTTTCATTGACCATCACGTCGGGATCCAACGAGGTCTTGATATAAATGTCACAACAATGTCGCATGGAGATAAGAAAAATGTCAACTATGGCGCACCCTGCGCGTAGTAATGTCGACTCAAGCCAATTTTTTGATTGACACTTCTTTACTTGCAAGATGGAAGCAAAGACGGGCATCACAAAGAGCACCTGACTTGACGGATGGCGTATGCCCGGAGAAGGGCACAAACAACGAGACTTGGCTATGGGATGCAGCAAATCCCGTCGCATATCTTGGCAAAGTTGTCCCAAAAATGAGATCTCGCTTGAAATAACGCAGATGTCCTTCGAGAGTATGGCATGGGAAAATGCAGCATCAATATACTCCAAGAAACTCATAAGTGTGGGGAAGTGACTGCACCGCGAAAATCCCCTGATAATGTGTTAGCGGCCGATACCATCTACACACAATTATGCAACGAGACACCCACGACGTTGTAACCACTTTTTGGACTGACCAACGAGATATGTCCTCGACAATAGTAAACCACGACCAAATACGCGAGCCGTAGGCGCGATGAAGAAAACCAGACTCGTTACCATGTCGTGCCAAGCCGAGCAGACATCTCTTATTATTTCATCAACGTGGGTTCGTGTATGGAGCGCCATAAAGCATTTATGCACCCAAATCATAAATATGAATGGGGAGACATAAGTCAAAGATTTCGAAGAAACTGCATACCCGACATCGTCAAGGGGATTCACTACTACAAATCTACCAAAATGCGTACGAGAATGAATGAACGAATGGCGTCTGAAGATACGAACAACAGGGCTCTTTTTATGGCATCAGTCAGGAGTGGGCCGTGCGAGTTGATTTCTCGAGCCTATTACATCTGACTTGGTGACCAATAACCACTTGATTTGGCTGCAATGTGTCCTAACATGGTCGGCTAGCGATGGCCAGGTGGTCTCTGACGAACATCGGTTAGAGGTACATGCTCTTTTTATCAGATTCGCTTCGTCTGCGATCAGGAGAGGTTGTACAACACTGTGGTGCTCGGAAAGTCGGAGAGGGATCAGCATCGTGAAGATAACATGGAAACGATTCGCGTTCGCCTCCTGGTCGACCCTGAGTTAGTATTTCAACACATCTGGCAGGTCCAAATACGATCTTAGTGCCAGCCACCTAGGTGACCCATTTGTGTACATGGTCCACGGAATAGCAAGACAAAACCTGGAGAGTCGGATCCTGATGCCAGTGATGGCAATGCAAACTGGCCTCTTTGCTCCCAACCGTCTACCATGACCACAAAAGTAGCAGCGACATCAACGCACCAACATTGTGTTTCAAGCGAGCCCTGTCTATGCGCTACGACGGTAAATCTACAATGCTTCGCAAATAGACGATGGGACAGGATCCAATGATCAGCTCACGGTTAATCTGTTGACTAGTAAGTATTGGTCAAAATAGCCAGTTTCTCACAAAACAGTTTCTTAGATGTGTAAGTCTAACATTCTGGACAAGGAATTGCACCGAAAGAGTCCATTTCGAGGTCCTCTCCGCTGTGAACGATGTTTTCCGCTCACAATGGTTTCGACACTTGTACGAGAAACAAAGTTTATTGATGCCAATTCTTCCCGTTTCACTTACCGAAGATCGACGTTGAGGTAGTCCTGGAGACCTGAAAATTACAACAACGCTTTCATCAATAAAGAGAGAAGCTGGGGAAGGGGAAAAAGAACTGGATCCCGACGACGAAGAAGCAGGGTTCGAAGAAGAACAGGCAGTCATTGCGGCTGATGACGATGATCATGATTCAGTTGACGTGAATACTGTCGTTGTGTCAAAGCCCCCTTCGCCTGTCCCTCAACCTACTTTCACCGTCACCGACCAACTGATCCAAGACACAGACATCTTTACCACTCTCCGCCAAACCATCATCTTTTTGAATAGAGCGCTGGTCTCAGACAATGAAGCAGAAGTGCGGGAGGCCATCCGCATCTCCGACCGACTGCTCGAACATGTGCGACTTCAGCACGGTAATTGAAGCCTCCTACTCAGTACAACCGTCAACTCAGCCAAGGCGTCGCTCCAGATTTTGAAGGGCGCTGACATGGTCTGTCTGAACAATTACAATATCGACGAGCTACCCGACAAGAAGAACAATTGAGAAGTTTTACATTACTTTGGCGAGTGTCATTATCATTTCATGGTGGTGGGTTTGCTTTTATGAGGACGTTTTCTTTTCGCGTTGATTTCTGTTGTTTGTTTTCTTTCGGTGTAGGGCCGCACCGCATCTGTTCGCCCCATTCTGTTAGGGATATCAGTCACGTTATGTTGCCAGTGCCGCAAAAAAAAACATTATTTCCCGGCACGTCTGCTTTGGCATTTGACTTACTCAGCAAGAACAACGACGATATCATTATATGGTTCGATACCTTTTCTTAGGATGCCAAGACCGTGTCTACTGGTCGGTAACAAGAAAACCGTCGACCCGTCTTCATATGCCATGGTTATCGCAGCGAGGATGTTGGACGAGTCGTTCTCATTCCCCAATTTATGCTATGTTTGTTTGAATCCATCGAGAAACAAGATGAAATGGTACTTCTACTTCGAAATTTAATCAGCTCAGGAGAAGCTAGCGAACGACGACCACTTCGAACAAATGGGCACACGATGAAAACCATGAGCGCGTCATGAAATGAAGCCACCTCGTAAATTTCCCCCAGAGCATGGCCAATAACCGAGAAATATACGGTGATTTGCACCCAATCCGTATCAGAGAGCAACTTTACAATCTGCAACCAATCTGAAAATATGTTTGGCACAAAGAGCCTTTCAAACATGTCTTGCGATTGGACCTTGGAAATTACAGAGGATTCCAGAAGCCATAGAATCTGGAACGCGACTTGGCAATACGTTTTTTACGAGGAAAGCAACTCTACAACCCGTTTCCTAGCACCAGATACTGTTTGCAGCGTATATTTGGGCAAAAACGCATTCTGGAACATATCGAAGCGTGCTTCCTTGGTTGTCACATCAGCAGCGAAGTGCGTCCGGCGTTGGGCGATGAAAGCCAGCATCCACCGAAGAGCAACCACACGACAACAAAACCATCCTAATATATTAAGGCTATGACATATGGCAGACGCCCTGAACATCGACTCGACTTCCAGGGAGTTCCCCCGGTGGACGAATCGGAGGAATCGGAGGAAGACGAACAGCCTCCTATGGTGTGTTACAACTGGCCACCGCTCGCCACTGAGCTTTCTATCAGACACCCATTGGCGCCACTTCAGTTATAACTAGCGATATACCATATTCACAAATGTTTTTTGACTCTCTTGGTCCGGCAATTTGCCGCTGTCTGTTATAACCCAGATCAAATTCAAACGGGAGCATCGTCATCGAATATCGCTACAAGAGCCGAAACCTCATCACCATTTCAGATCATGTTGCTCTCATAACACTGGCCCAGCGATGCCAATATTCATGAGATCCGATAAAGTTATCGCCGGGGACGTTGGCATCGGCCAGCTTGACTTAAAAACGACCATTCACAATTAACAGGTCGCCTTATTGATCGTTGTGAGTGTTTTCCATTCAAGGACAGAACCCACATATGGACGACAACACTTTCAAAGGCACAGGTTTCAGTTGTGTCATGGTCCCATACGGTAACAACCGACAACATCGTATGACGGGCGTCGGCCGCAGAAAGCCGTATGCACAGATATTGTGATGCAATAACTTCGCACCACGCCAACCGGAGCTGAAATACAAGCACAGATATAGCTCCTGGAAGACGAAACAAGTCACACACCTTCGGCATCAAAAATCACCGTTCTATTCTACCGTATTCATTCCAAGGGCTACCAAAATGCTGCACCCAAGGGATCGTCACCGTGTCGTTCGTGCTTCGCCCTCTGTGTGCTGTACCTGCCTTAGACAAAGCCAAAATGCTATCCATAACGCAGCTATGAGCAATCGTGAAAGCATTGCGACTTCCATCGTCATTACGGTGCTCCGGCCAATTGTCAAAACTAAAACTGATCCCCATCGAAGTCGAAGATCCCATTTTCTGATGATCTTTTTCGTCGAGGAAAAACAGATACAGGATATACACGCACAGTGCGATGGGCCGTCCTTGAACACGCGACCAAGTATCTAGCTGCCCCGAAGATGGCTAACGGGTGATATTATCGGGGACGGTGTCTCCTACAGTTCAAAAGACCTAAATTCGGCTACCGCGCAATGGTACTCGATTCACGGCGTGAGTTAATCGTCGCTGTTGGCTGGTAGGCACACCGACATTATCACATAGCACCAAGCCCCCCCCCGTTTGATAATTATGGTGCGGGTGAAGGTGGGAATCTTCGATCAACGCAGCAGCCACTTATGCGTTGCGGGTCGTGTTGTACCATGGCTGAATAACTTCTCGCTTGAGCCTGCGATGGGATCCTAGGAGTGCGAGTTTAGCGTCTCATGGCGCCCAACGGGGACATAACATATCCTTCAAAGTACGCAGTCAGGAGATGCTTCTGGCAGACAGTCATATTACCAAGTTAAGATGGCGACGGTGGAGGCTCAGCTGCGGCGAAGATGACTCGAGCTCGAACAACGGATACAGAAAGAACATTTCCCTTGGCCGCACGTAGGGACCATATCTTCCACCCTGTAGGTCGTGTGGCCTGCCAACTTGAGTTCAGTTTCTGGTACGGAATCAAATGTCTCGAAATGGAATTACGAACCGTTTCGTCAACAAAGCTTCGCTTGCCATTTATCGTCTCTTCTTTTCGTGGACCAGATGAGACCCACTGGGTAGCACTTTCAAAGGTATCTGCAGTCGCGTACGTCAACATTGTTCTTCAACGATGTGGTCAGACACGAACCTCTCCGGATCTGGACAGCTATTTCTAGTATGATGCACCATGCTTCGGAATCACGGAAAGTAAGTGCGTGTAATGTCTACGTCGGCGCTTCGGTAGGCTTGATAACCGTTGCATGTGTTGCAGTTGACCACCTCCTGCAGAAAAATACGGCGCTCGCCGAGTGGAGAGAATTGCTTTGCAGACTACCAAACGTGGAAATATCTGGCGCCACTGTACACCATAAGCAGACTATTATGATCGCATGATTCCGGGAGGCGTTGTGCTGCCTCCGAATCTGTGTCTCATCCGCTGGTTTTGATGCCATTTTATGAGCTGCCCGCAAATTATGCTTCTTTGATCTTTGCATCATGTCAGCTCAAAGACTATGGAGGAATGCATGGCCATGGTTGTCGCCCTCGTGAGCGTCTTCCAGCAGAACCTCGTCGGACGTGCCCGGATCTGGTATGACGAGAAGTTCGACGACAATGAGGTTTTTACGTGGGAAGAAGTCAAGGCGTCACCTTGGTCTCCTCATCTTTGTCTTCTTTTCCTTCTTCCTCAACGTCATCATCATCTTCCTCGTCCTCCTCGTCCGAGCTCTCCACCACCCCAAAGTTTATGTGGTCTGATTCCTTGTCGAAGTCTGAGTCAGATTCGGGGTCAAACTTAGTCGCGGGAGGGTCAATTGAAACGCCGTTCATATAAGGGGACCAGTTCACGGGGTCCGGTCTTGGTCTTGGGGACGGAGGTTGTGGGAGTGTCAGTCGCCCCGAGGGACCTGGTATCGTTTGAGGGCGGGTAACTCGGGGCAGTAGTAATCTTGAAGATACGCCTGTTGCGGGTCGAAGACGGTTTAGGCTGGTCTGAGAAAAGGTCGAGACAGTGGGGAGACCACTCCAACAGAGTGTGCCAATTGTCATGTTGAAGTTTCACATGGTCGAGTAGCCGATGTGAAATCCGAATAGCCTCGCTCACTTCCTCGTCGTTGTTTAGCACAGCCGTCGACTCGGCCACAGCCTCACTGCAGATTCTCAAGAACGCCAATTCGTCCGGGTGACTGTGATGTCAACAAACTGCCTTCCACGGATTGCTGGGGGGATGACGAGAACTGAGAGATCTTACATTGTTTGTTGAACCCTAACTAGCCCTAACTAACTAAAACCCTAACTTTCCGACGATATGTTTTGATCGTCGTTTTCTCCATTGCGCGTATCGCTTGCATCGTGCCGTTGGTTTTGCCAGAATTTGGCTCTTCTCTGTTTCAGAAATTTGTGGAAATCTGACCCATATTGGTGGAAATTTTACTCGGCATAACGCCATCAATAACATCTACAATAACGGCAAAGGCGTCAGGAATCTACACGCTTGGTACTCTAAGACTCCCACGGTTTGTTGATTTCTGGCATGACGTGGGGTCGGCGAGGTACCTTGGGTGGGCGTACCAACCTTTGTATTCACCGTCAAAAAGATACCATCCAGTCACAAGACACAAGTAATAATCCTAGTGTTTCACAAAATCAAGAGCTGATCTTCATGATATGCCTTTCAACAGGCGGACATAACAGATAAGATGTTGTTGAGATTTCATACGACCATATTGACCCGAACGCGGATTGCAAAACAAGAACCAGAATACATCGAATGGATACCGCCGATGGTTTCACAAGCGCCTGGGAACTCCCTTCAACTTTATTTCTATTAATAACAAACTTACTACACATAGACCCAGGATGAGGAGGAACGCTGGAACTCACTTTCCAACATGCATCATAACGCAGTGATACTACTTCTCGCGTTGTCAAAGACAAGACGGTATAAAAAGTCAAAACAAGAGGCTAAAATGGGGACGTACAAAGAACAGAAATACAATGTGACAGGCTCTTCTTAGACACGGCTAGAAAAGAATGCCGTTTCTTGTGTCTTGTGGTAAAGAAACGTGGAATGCACACATCCGTGGCATACTCTACGTCTCGATCTGTGAGAGCGAGCGTAGGTTCTCGAGACACTCGAATACCGTTCACTCTCTAACCAAAAAGGCAAATGTCTCCAACAACAGTAGCACCTCGACCCATGCAATTGCACAAGTACAAATCGTCCAGAAGAATGTCGACGATTATTACCAACTGTGAATCATGATTATAAACACACTCCAATGCGAGTACACTGCCGTCGTCCTATCTAGCCATCGAGAACCCAGCCATCTGAGCAGAGTGCACAGCAAAAGCCCAATGGTGGCTGCCAGGACATGTCGAATTATGTTTGCATTCTCCACTGTCCAAGGATAGCCATTTATGATGCACCATATATTGTTGGACAAGCGTAGTCTCACCTCATTGGCTGGATGTTGATTTATTTACGTTCCAGGTTAAGAGCCCGGTATGCAACTATACGGAGCTTCTTGTTGCAAAAATCCTCAAGAGACGTGTCACATGTCGACATCGATGCACTGCTTCGCCGGCTCTCGAACGATGAGAAAGACCCCATAGCCACCAAGAGACCCAAATCCAAACAAGAATATCACGATATTTTAAATGTGATTACCGCCTTTTAAATATATCGGTAGGCCTAGTGGCGTCCAATGAATGGCTGGACTCACGTGCCAGTGTTGACACAACTCTGACCACGAGCACACACGGAGGATGATGAGAAGGCGGAGAGGAAGTCAAACGTGGTTAGCATTGACGGCCCGTATCAGTGATTGAATGAGGACGGAAACAGTACCTACCGTCATGTATGGGCATCGGCTAATAACTGCTACCATTCACAGACATCAGCGCCAGAGCGAAATTGGTTGAAAGACGTATCGAGAACCCAACTCTCATTAAAATGTCCAACTTGCACCACCTCGCAACCACGTCCAACGCGCGACACTGGCCCTCGATGGAGGGGACGTCTTGGTAGTAGACGGTACCATACGACCCCAGCAAATCTTCACTCACCGGCCCTCGTACGTGAACGCGCTCCTTATTGCCTGTGCCGGTATAGCGTCCTAGAACGACGTGTGCATCCAGTGCTATACGAAGGCGCAGTAAGAAAACTGCCAATCAAGCAAACAAGCACCAAGAGTTATGATGTTGCTTGCAGGTTATTTCTCATAGCAACTAGTTGTCCTGGCAAATGCCACTAGACGATTATTGTGGACATAAGAACGAACTTCACCGACGTCACATTACTTGTGGTGCCGAGAGATGAATCTGAGAATTTCTCCCGTACCACTATCCCCGGTACACCCGTGAACACCACAGCTGAATATTTCAGACCACGACATAGCAGGCCGGTTTATGAAACAGGAACATGTTGTCTGCTCCTCATGCTCATCGCACGAGCAATTTGCAAAGTACATCACTAGAGGTTGTGTAGCTGCGGTCCGCAAGGGAGGCGACGAGTGGCAAAACACCAGATGTCGACAGAACCCACAGCGTCAGCTCAACAACAGGCCCGAATGAATGTATGCAGCAGCTCTTATTTGTGACGATGATGACATACTTACATTTGCGGCTTGTCAGTCAATGGAACTGTCTTGTGTCCAGGCCACGGTCGTCCTTTGGTGCTAAGTACCTTTAAGTCTGCTGGCCTATACTATATGAGGTGCGTGAGCCGGGGCTTGATGCCGACTGCAGAGACATGCCTTTTGCAAATAATTCTTCCAAGCTAACCTCGCCAAATGAAAGGCCCGCTGACTGACTATCAACTTGACAACGTAAACGATCGACTTTGGACGTCGTGTTTGGGCGACTATCCGCATGGAGAGCCGTCGGTTGATGTCTCAACTATCGATGAAAGCCGCCAGAACACCTCGCCTTACTAGTGCACTGATCGCAAGTTATTACCATTCTGATAGACGCGTGAAGCTGCAACTAGGTCTCTATGCAGAGTTTCCCCGTCGCCAATGACGCTCATGTAGTTATAACATCAGTTGTACTGGTCATACGTTTCAGTCGCACTGATGACAGACGTCGATTTGGTACTGATGGGTTTGAGGTTATCATGACGTCCACCGTCCCATTCTCCTTCCCCATGTTCGTCGTTTGACGAACTGTGGACGGACAGTCCAAGGGCCGTATGGTCATTGACGTCCGCGGACTGAACAAAATGTGTCTGCCAGACAGTTACCCCATGCGTACCCAAGATGAAATCTTGAGCACTATTGCGCCCCGCAACGCCAAGTTCATCACTGTCATGGACGCGTCAGCATTTTACTACCAATGGCGCGTGCACCCTGACTCCAAGTGAGCGGTCACAGTCACCACTGAAGGCCGCCAATTTACCTTCAATTGTGCAGTCATGGGATACAAGAATTCAAATGTCTACGTTGCCCGGCAAATGGACATTATCCTTGACGCCATCGATGCCGCTAAGACATACTGTGACGACCTCGTTGTCTCAGACAGCTCCCTCGACGAACACATCGCCAACCTCAGACAAGTCCTCCGGCGCCTCAGACAATTCAACATCTCCATGGGCCCTGACAAGTCCTTCGTCGGCTTCCCCAACTGGGATGTTGGCGATGCCCGCCTCGTTGTGTACTCGGAAAGAGGTGTTTCGTTAGGTCATCACGCACTGTTACGGGTATAGATTGCAAGATTTACATACAAGTTGTGTTATTCTGATTAAGATATATAATTACACGGTGCTACGATATTTTAAATTGAATAAATCAACTCCTCAAGTCACGTAATTTACTCATCCCTCGTAACGACAGCCTAAATAAATGTAGTTCGGTGACAGGCGCCAAAACTTGTAAACTGTAAATTCTCACGACGCAAAAGACCCGGTCATCACGGGCAAGCCGGCGACCCAACTCTCTCCCATGCCTCCGTTTTGTCCCGGTAAGTTGTCTACGGCCTAGTCAGAGTCCCGATAATCCCTCGCTATTTATGCGGCACATGTCTATGTTGTGAGTCAACAGCAATGCGTCAATATCTGCATCTTGCTGGGAATTTGACAAGATTTGCGTCGTTTTATGTGACCCTAATTTGGATGTCGGTAAGAGCTTTGTAGCCTCCGGCTAATAAATGCCGTGAACGCGGTTCATCCCGTGCGCACTGCGGGCGAGTACCCGTGGCCCTGCCGCACGTAACCAATGTTCGATGTTTTCATTGCGCTGGCGCGGGATGGCGACAAACCTTACAGTAATTTTAGGTCTTTTCCTGCTAATATTTGCAATTCCCACTGTTCTCCGTCGTCGCTTGAAAAACTGCCCCTCCCCCACTAAACAATACGTGAGTCAACTGTGCGCCAAGCCGAAGTCGCAAATTCACTCGCTAGCATGACACTGCAACAGGTATTTCGTACTCCTATACGACTTACAAGTAGCGCTTTAAACCGCGCAAAAGGTACGAATTACCGACCGAAGCTCCTAAACAAGGCTAACAACAAACTTCCAGTAGCGCAACCGCAGCCAAGGGGCAGAAAAAAAATTGGCATCTTATTTTTAAAGTTCGCAGCCGCCTGACTGGCGCTTTCTTCCCTTCTCTCTCTTTTCTCGGTTTGGCGATTTCGATCTTTTTCTTGACCCCTATCCTTTTTTTGTTGTTTTCGGACAGCAAAAACAGCGACCACCCCGATCGACAAGCATTATGGCGACCATCATCTTGGGCTCCCAATGGGGTAAGTTGTTTTGTCCCTGTCCCTCGTTGTGTGGTTCTATGGTTCTGTGGTTTTTGGTGGGCTTCCTCCGATTGCGCTGGTGGGCTGCATCGAGCCACCACAGTCACTCTCACGAGCCATTGGCCGCTGCGCTGGGCCTTGCGTGCTTCCAATGGATAAACAGAAACTGACAAATGTATTTTGAACTATCCAGGAGACGAAGGTGTATGTATTTACTCACCCTGGACGATTGTGAACTCCGGTCGAGAATGTTTCAACGACTGACGCTGCGTCCCCTTCTCGACAGAAAGGCAAACTGACCGACCACCTCCTGGCGTCCAACGCGTTTGACATTTGCGCGCGCGCGGCCGGTGGCCACAATGCCGGCCACTCGATCAAGTGAGTTTCGGAACGGAAGACCACGCATAAACGATGCGATCTCACGATGCGACCTCGCAGGTGGACAAGGCTGACAAGGTGGGGCACATACGCCCCGTTCTTTCACAGGACCGGCAACCAGAGCTTCAGGTAGCGACCTCCCACCCATGGCCCATGACAGTTGAGAGAAGCGACAGCAGGAGACAGCAGCCGCTGTGTTGGTTTCGCATACCCGTGCCGATACGACGGCGCTGGCGTCTTGCTGCCGGCGTGGCAATCGACCGTTGCAGACAGCTGACAGCATTCTTTCCTGCATTCTAGCTTCCACCTGTTGCGTACGTTTGCCATCTTCCCTCACTCTGTTCCTTTATGTTTCCTCGATCCCTCAATTCCTCGATCCCTCAATCGCTCGCTCACTCGCTAACGCTCAGACAGCCTCCGGCCTCATCAACCCCAAGACCGACAACCTCATCGGCTCCAGCGTCGTCTTCAACGCCGAGGCCTTCTTCAAGGAGCTCGGCGACCTCGACGCCAAAGGCGTCCCCGACGTCCACCGCCGCATCCATGTCAGCTCCCGCTGCCACCTCAACTTTATGCTGCACGCCGCCGTCGACGGCCTCTCCGAAGTCAAGCGCGGCAACGAGTCCATCGGCACCACCAAGCGCGGCATCGGCCCGTCCTACGCCAACAAGGCCTCGCGCGACGGCCTGCGCGTCATTGACATCTACTCGGCCTCGTTTGAGCGCAAGCTGCGCGAGCTCGCCGATAGCTACCGCGATCGCTACGGCGACCTGTTGCAGTACGACGTCGAGGCGGAGCTGCGCAACTATGCCGACTACAAGGAAAAGCTGCGGCCGTACATTGTCGACGCCGTGGCGTACATGCAAGAGGCACAAGCGGCGAAGAAGTCGATTCTGGTGGAGGGATCGCAGGCACTGAGTACGTCGCGTTGAAGAGCCGCCCCCAACGCCCCCTCCTCCCATTTCCCCCCTCCCCTTTCCTCCCCAGCCCTTCCCACTAACCACCCCGACGGCAGTGCTCGACATCGACTACGGCACGTACCCCTACGTCACGTCGTCCAACACCAGCCTGGGCGGCTGCATCCAGGGCCTGGCCCTCAGCCCCTTCAGCCTCAAAAACGTCATTGCCGTCGTCAAGGCGTACACCACCCGCGTCGGCGGCGGGCCCTTCCCCACCGAGCTGCTCAACGACGTCGGCACCAAGCTGCAGGACATTGGCGGCGAGATCGGCGTGTCCACCGGCCGCCGCCGGCGCTGCGGCTGGCTTGACCTGGTCGTCCTCAAGTACTCCATGGCCGTCAACCACTACACGACCATCAACCTGACCAAGCTCGACGTCCTCGACACCTTTGCCACCATCCGCGTGGCCACGGCCTACATCACGCCCGACGGCCAGAAGCGCACGACCTTCCCGGCCGACCTGGGCGAGCTCGAGACCTACGAGGTCGAGTACGCGGATTTCGAGGGCTGGCAGACGTCGACGAGCGGCGTGCGGGACTGGGACAAGCTGCCCGCGCAGGCGCAAAAGTACATTTCGTTTATCGAGGAGTTTGTGGGCGCCAAGGTCGCGTACATTGGCACAGGCCAGGACCGGAAGGACATGATTATTCGGCAGTAGGCCGGCCAATCATGGGTTGCGACGGACAGGAGGACGCAGAGAATGGCGAAAGACAAAAGGACATAGAGACGAGAAAGGGCATTCAACAGCAGGCGAAGCTGTACACTGTCCTCGACGCAGGCACAGCAACGACACCACGAGTGAAGACACTCGAAAAGCGAGACAGACATAAAATAGAGACTCTGCGAAACGAGCAATGAATCTAACAGCATGGACAATGAAGAAAACGAAAGCACAACATAATGGTGGGCGTGAAGGGTCTCGCATTCCCGCATTCTGATTCGCCCGCAAACCAAAACAGTCGAAACAAGGTAACAAGACTGCCACACAATTTTCTTGGGCAAACGTCACAACACCAAGTCAAGGCTGTCGTGTGATTGAGCAGCCTGACCCCGACCCTGCTGCCAAGATGTGCACACCCATTTTCCAGAGCGAGCGTCGACACGTCCTCGCTGCCTTGGCTTTTTGATAGCTCGTGAATCGACCAGCAAAAAGCCGACGATCGACAGAATAGCCTCCGTCACTTGACAGGGGTTCTGATCTGAGAGCAAAACGATCACAAATCTGTCCGAAGCAACCCTGCAAGTCTTCCCCCATCTCCCCCTCCACAACCCCGCTTATGACGCTCACAGCTGGGCAATACCGAAATCTCTTCTCCCTAAAATCCCCAACCTCCCCTCCCTCGTCCCGATCGTCACTCCTTTTCTTGGCCTCTCCCGTCGTCTGCCCTACGCACAGCCTAGGCATCTCAGCTGCTGCATGGCTGACGATGGTGCCGTTCCAGCAGCACACCGATTCTGTCAGCTGAGGGGGTGCTAGGAAGGAGGTGTGGTAATTACTGCGTACACGGAAAACGTAGCATCAAAAAATCCCAAAAGCCAAATCCCTGTCGATGTGACATGCAATATTTGATACTTTCAGCTCGAACCATCTGAGATCCTTCAGTTTATTTTTATTCATAATCAGATTTATCGCTCCCGCCCTTCCTCGTAAAAGAAGTGTTCCCTTCAGCTTTGAAACGTCGTCGCACGAGGAAAGCTGAAGACACGATAGCGAGCTGATAAATCGCACACCTACCCCTGTTCTTGTGATACATATTATTTCACCCGTCACCCCCCGTGCGCCCCTGGCACGTTGCTTGTCCTCGTCGTATTTTGACTCCACAGTGACCTGCCATCGGCACAGCAATCATCATCTCGACAGCCTCGCTGTGGCAGTTACGAATATCCATATCAAATAGCTCCTCTCCCCAGCTCGACATGTCTTCGTCCACCTCTGCCAGCGACGGCGACCAGTCCAAGCGCCAGGCACTGACCGACGCGGCCTCCCGCGCCGTCCACCGCCTCAGCGCCGCCGCCGAGGCCGAAATCGCCGAAATCGCCAAGCGCCACCACCCGTCCGCCGCCAACGCCTACCGCCTGCAGCTGCTCACGCGCCAGCAGCGGCAGTTTGCCGACCTGGAGGCAGCGCTGCCCGACCGCAGCAGCGCCTGGGGGTTTACCGGAGGCGCCGAGGACGGCGCGCCGCTGTCGCTGCGGCCCTCGGCCCTGCTCGCGTCGGGCGGCCGCCTCCTGCAGTCCGTCTCCAAGGCGTCGGCCCAGTCGTCGCGCGTCGCCGACCTCCTGAGCTACCTCGGCAAGCGCAACCCGGCACCGCAGCCGATCACGGACAAGGACTGCGTCTGGATGCTCGACAACGTCGCCTTTGTCGACGCCGCCACGGGCGACTACCAGGCCGAGTACGTCGTCGCCGTCATGGCGCAGCACCCGACCTGCAAGGTCGTCGACGCGGTGCGCGCCGTGGCGGACACGCTGGGGCGCGGGGCCGTGGACGACGCCGCCCTCAAGACGATTGAGGAGCGCATCGTTCCGTTCCTGCAGGACATTCTGCCGGGCCGCCAGGTGGCCGCCCTGCACGGCGAGGACTGGCGGCTGCTGTTCAGCCCCGGCGGCCGCAACGGCCTGAGCAGC